GCATACTAGCACCCCTTTAATTCAGCTCAGACTATCCTGATGTAGCTATTAATTCCTAAATAAACATTTCTCCCTGGTGAGGATAACTACAAGTTTGCATAAACGGCGTTAAAATAAAGACAAAATCTTCGCAAGGTTTTGAATTTTCTTTCTGCCGTGTGTGATGAACAGACACTATGAACAACAAACAACAATGGCTCATCATTCAGCAAGGTTAGCACGCATCAGTCAGTGTAAGAGCTTCAAATTTAGTACACTCACACACAATCTGTCAAGTCATCAAAGCTGCTTCCAAATGTGTCACACAGCGCTCTGACAAACACACAAACACATGCCTCCTGTCCTTCTCACACAAGTTCTGCTTTGGAGGATGCAGACAGAATGATAACTCATACAATCGTCAGCCGCATGAAATATGTAAAGATGTCTCTCACACACACACACACACACTCGCACATAGAGGTGATGATTCCTTATGTGTCAGAGTTTTCAGGCAGTAAAAAGGGGGAGCAGATGAAAGCGGGGTTGAGCAGCTTGTTCTTTCTCCCGTCTCTTCTGTCATGTTCACCGGAGGGAGTTTTGATAGGTGCAAACACACACACACACACACACACACACACACACACACACACACACACACACTCTTGCTCGGAGGCACACACACATGCAGTGTTGGAGAAGTGCCGCAGCAATAATTAGATTTCACTTCAAAGAGCCACAACGTTTTTTTCTGAGGGAGACGGGCCTGATGTGTGATTGGCTACTCAGGGTAGCAGGTGAGGGACTGCTACGGGATACCAGACCCCTCTCCGCTGGTTTTGTTTCAATATCATGCGTCAATTAGCTGTTTTTCTTCTGGCATAAGCCACATAATAACGGTAATAGTATTTATCAATCTCGAAACCATTAAGCCACTGATCTGATGACGATTGGCCTCTGGGGGTCACGTCATCTATTCAAGGATTGCACAGATTTGCAATTTCGGTAGCTTAGCTTAGCTTATGCTACACAAGAACAAACCAAAACATCCTTTAGTGTATTTTGAATTTGCATACGGGTCAAAAAGTCTGGGGTTCCGGTGTTGCGAGCTGCTCATACAACGTCTATGCCTGAAATGTTTGACAAGTAGCCAGTTTACAAGCTAATTTTAAGCTTATACTAAGCTTAATTGTTGTCATTCATATGCAGAATATGTCTATCAAGATTAGCTACATATTAGCCTTGTGCAACAATTAAGGCAACCACAGGCTGGGATAAGGTTGGACCATAGGGCACTACACTGGCAGTACAGCAGTGAAAAGTGGTACCTGTCAATGGAGCAGAAGTGACAAGCTGCCACGTTGAAAAATGGAATCTGTCACAAGTGAAGGAGTGACATGCAGGTTATACTGCGAGAGCCAAAGCTAGAACAGCAGTGGAGTACAGTCATCAACAGGGACATGCATTTCAGCCAATTTCCATTGTGGATGCTGCAATTCTTCAGAAGCTGTTTACTACATGTAGGCATGGAGGAGAAGTAGACTATGGATTTGTCTTATGGGAAATGTATTACTAAATGCAGGAATGACTCTTTATTTATTATTTATATTTCCTGACTTATTCTTACTGGCAGTGACCACGTTTCTTTTGATGTATCAGTGAATAATCTAAAGTTGTAGGTCCTCTTAAATGAAATGGAGTATTGTGCAAGCTGATACTTATTATAACAACGTTATACAGTTACTGTTAAAGCGTTTGTGTGTGTGATAGACGATGATATCAAACAAACTGAAAACATTTGACAGAACTGTATCCTCCTCTCACATTCATCACCTAGTCCCTCTCACTCTGTCAAAACGACACACTTTCTCTCACACACACAAACACACACTTCTCTTCTACTGGCAGGCCGTCAAATGATTTTGTGTGCATTTCAGGGAGAAGCGGCCCCTGCTTAATTACCGCCATGCTAATTGAATCCCAGTGTGAGTGATGTATGGGGATAGGCTGTCTGTGACAGAATGGAAATGAAATAGTATTAAGCAGCCAAGTAGATAATCCAGTTAGGAATGTCTGGGACACGAGGAGGATTAGTCAATGCAGCTCCATATGGCTCCCTGTCAGCGCACATCAAAGTTGTTTGAAATCTAAAATATTTTCATTCTCAGACTCTCTGTCCTTAAAAAATAAGTCTCTGACAAACTTAATAAACATGCCCATGGCACATCTTAACGTTTTGTCAGTCTGCAGAGCATGCTTTATTTAAATTGAATATTTTCCTTAAGTTTTAACTGAGCTTCTGTGAACAAACTTGGACTGGCTTTTTTTTTGCAAACATATCCATAAGCATGATTGCTACAATTGCTACAAACGTAAGCTTAAATCTCAAAGAAGCATTTGTTAGCTGTCACAGAGAAGTGACAGAAATGTCTTATGCAACTTGTCAAAGCAAAAAGACCCTTCAAAGTATGATTCAGTCATTCAATTCAGTTACTTGAAGAGGCTTTCTGCTTTCTGGGGTTTTCCCTTTCCTTTAATGTGTTGTATAGCTTTTGTGCATTTAATTATGACAAAACATTTATTAAAAGCACGTTTTTTCCAATAATATAATCCTAATGAGTGACCTTGTTCTCTCCACAAAAAAGGGTTTCTTTCTCAACCTTGTGGAAGTAAAACGCAGCTTTGCTAAAGTGATGATTTCAGGTCTGCCGCAACCGACAATTTGACAGTAATGGCTTTGTGAAGGTGAGCAAGGAGTCAGGGTTAAATCTTCTCTGTCGAGTTCCCTTTTACACAACCATTCCTGTCAGTTTCTATTCGACAAAGCAAGTTCAACAATGTGAATGTCTTCAAGGAGTTTTGCTGCATATTTAACGATCCCATCTCCCCCTCTCTATGACCCCAAGTGTCACTGAAAGGAGCATTAGGCATTGGGGGAGGATATCATGTATTTTTCATAGAAAGGGCTCAACAGTCCACAGACCGTTTGCAACGTCCAACATCGCTTCACTTGCCATCCTGCACATTATTATGCAAAATGCAGCACTACCATAGCCAGTGGGCTGACAGGGATAATTTCACTAATGTATGCACATTTATTGTATGAATATGTGGCTTGCTGACAGTATTTACTTTTTAGCTTTGTGGTAAATAACATCTAACTTAAACTATCTATTTTGGCCTAAATCGTTAGGATTATGCTTCACAGAACTTAGACATAACGCTGTTCATTTGCCACAAACATTGCTGCAAACACCAGCAGCTCAAGAGGAACAAATTAATACATGTCTTTTATCTCTGCACGGCTGTTAATCAGTGTTACAAACTTCAGAAAAGTTATAACCTTAAAGTTATTTAGATAGAAAACGTCATGTGGGTTGGTGCAGAGGTCAGTGGATCTGCATTGTTCCAGATTGGTGTCAGCACGTGGTGGCTTCTCATTATAATGTCCTTGTTGTGAGTCTCACTTCTGTGTGATCTCTTGCTACTGCAGGCAGCATTACAGACCCTCCACCAATTATTGTTGGCTTGGCTCATCTGTTGCTGGGGCAACGCACCGGCAGAGGAACGTGTGGCGGCGAGCTCATCCCCGCAGGTAATCTATGGACAGAAATCAACCGCCGCACAGCTTCACAAGATATGCAAAACCTTCGACCTACCTACCGAGTACCTGCCTTTTACTGTTCACTTTATCTGCTGGTGTCATCTTTGTTTTGTCTCTCCCAAACCCTTCCATCATCTATGACTCCACCCCTTGTGTACTTTATTCCACCATCTTCTATTTTTTGCTCCCTTCCTTTATATTTCCTGTCCCCTCTCATCTGAGGCTTCCTCTCTTCCCTCCCCAGCAGGCTGCAGATGGTGCTTAATGGACACATAACTGAGCGTAACTGCCTCGTGAATAATTTCAAAGGCACAAGGTGAGCCATAGGACAGCTCCATATAGGGACATACAGGAAGGGAAGCGTGCACAGAAACTACAGAATGCAAACCACTAACACATCATCCAAACAATAATTCTACAAATTAATTTATAACATCAACGTTTATTTTCAGATCTCTGGGACTGGGATCTCTTTGAACACACAGCCCATGTTCCACGGAGAGGTTCCTCCCTGTGGAACTCCTCCTAGCAGAAACCGCAGCTATAAGGGTACACTAGACGCCATGTGGGATGCATTTGTATGCACACAGGCCCACAATCAACCTCTTAAGGCTCATGTGGTTTGATTTATTAAATGATAGATACGCAGAATTCAGAAAGATGGCAGAGTATTTCAAGGTTGTCCTGGTTAGTGTAATATAAAGTGGGATGGCAATATCTGTCTAACAGGGAAGCGTTTTAAGGGGAAGGATGAATAAAACGAGGTTGGTAACATTTGACTTGAAATGGACTCTGAGGCATAATAGGGACACCGTAACCATTACTAGCATTTATTGCTCATCATATATTACCTGCTGAATGTGTAAAACTTCAGGGACACTGGCTCAACTCATGAAGAACACTGATGAGGTGGAGCCAGTAAAAGCCTTAATCCCTCATCGATTTCACTTATTCAATCTATACCAATCATACAGAAGGACCAAGAGATGAGGTAGGCAGCTACAGACATTTTGCCAACAAAGTTAAGAGGTCAGTTACAGTGCTTCCAATGTAATGTGTAACAAAATGTTTGACGATAAGAACTATCAGAACGAAAAGAAATAAGAACTGGGTCAAGTTTTAAGATTGCTCTTAAAAATAATTGTCATTTAATTTCGTTAAAAAATCCTTCACTTGCCACAGGGAAGACATTTTAGTATTGTCAGCCGTGTGTGTCATTATAGCTGCTGCTGAGAAGCACTAACAGGACTAATGGTCTATTTTTAAGAGAAAAAAAGGACAAGCGGTGACACCCATCACCATCGCTGCCATATGGCAACGTGCCAGTCCAAATAGCTCATTATAAAGGTATGACTTTGGAGGTGACATTGTGTGGTAGATGTTGCTGGGTAAAGGAAACCAGACAGAAACGTCGCTGTTAGCTGTTTGAGAGTGGCGTTGCCTTTATCTGCGGACTTTGAGAGGGGACGAGTTAGCCAGGGCAGGGAGACGGAGGTTCTGAGCCACAAAGCTCCTCAGCTGTTGATTGGTCGGATTGATTGGCACAGGAAAGCTGCCTCTGGTGGGTGTGCTACAGATGGGTGGGGGGGTCAGGAGGGGTTTCCCCTCTCACCTCGTAGGTCCACTGCACATCTTCTGTCTGTAATTAGAGCAGTATCTGTCAATCATTGTATGTGTTGGTTTGGCTGCAGAAGTTATCTGTAATAGTCCAGCAGATATGTGAAAGAATTGTGCTTTTGATGATAAAAACATGACATCTGGCACACTGTTAGAGCATGCTATAGGGCCATCGCAAATGTGCCAAATTTCATGTTTTTATCATCAAAAGCACAATAATTCTTTCAGATATTTCACATATCTGCTGGACTATAAGGGAATGTTGACATCCTTACTTTAATAATAACAGACATATCTATATCAGAGGATACTAATTGACATACCTGGATGGTTAGCCTTGCTCTGTGGTTGCTGTGTGTGCTGGGTGTGAAGCACAGGCTGAAGGGGGCTCCAGGAGAACCAACAGGAGGTAACACCCCTGAGGCTGGAGTCACTGAGAACTCACTGCTGCTGCCGGGCAGGAACGCTGCGGTGAACCGCTCTGGCCTCCTACAATGGGAATGTTAGCGACTATCACTAGAACCTTTCCAGGGGATAGCAAAGCTCACGAGGATCTTCAAAACTTTACATTTGACTTTCAAAGAGCTAGGGACTTAATTCAAATCCTCTATGACAGTTCTAGGATAGATACAAAACGTTTAGAGAGCTATATGGCTACACCTAATTTTCGAGGTGCAGCTTGTATTCAATTATAAGAACACTTTGATGGAATAAGTTCTCACACACCTGGTGGTGCTGGTCAGATGGAAGCCCACAGCTGATGTCTTGCCTAACTCAGTGGCCTCAGTGATGATGACATCATCCACTTGAGGCTCTGTGCTGATGAGAGAGATGGAAAACTCCCAGATCCTGCCGGACACACACTGCACAGCTAGGACGGCTGAACACCTGCGCACACACACACACACACACACACACACACACACACACACACACACACACACACACACACACACACACACACACACACACACACACACACACACACACACACACACACACACACACACACACACACACACACACACACACACACACACACACACACACACACACACACACACACACACACACACACACACACACACACACATAAAATAGCTGAAATTGACTGTAATTTGATACTTTCACAACAAAGGGATAAATGTAAGTTCGTACAGCTGGCAACATGTAGTAAGTTACTACTTCGGTCAAAATGTACCTACAATTAGATCAGGAATACTGTATAGGTGTCGACTAGCCAAAGATATGCAGAGTATTATTTTCCTGAGAACCTTTATCTAGAGTAAAGAAGTAAATCAGTAAAATGAGCTGCATTAGGCTTTAACTATAACAAGTTTGCCCTCCATGGAGCACAGATGAATACCACGATTAAGTCTGCTTTCCGCTCATCGGTTTTCTTCAAGTCATTCTTCCACATTAATTTATCTAGTAGAGTGTAATTTGAGCATTCCTATTTATCTACAGAAACATGATTAACTAAACCGGGTCTTTAATATTCCCGCTTTCAGCTTATGATACTTGGTCGGCTCATCTCAGAACCCGCGGCAGAGAAATAACATGTAGATAATGGAAGAGCCTATTAGCGGCACCACACACCCCGTCATTTCCTCGTGGAGAACTCATTAGCTCTCAGAAGTATTGATTCTACCAGGGCACGCCTCATTAATGGACAGATGAAGATGGAAGCTGATAAATGAACACTCTTCACTCGGCAGGATGTCACATGCAAGTAAGGAGGACAGAAGAGGATAGGTGAACTGTGATAAACATTGACAGCATGCTGTATATTTGGTAAGTAACTAGTGTTCATTTAAGGCAAGAAAGGTGGATTCAATTTCAGTTAAAGGTACCCTTTGGTGTCCTTGGGCAAGATAATGAACCCCAACTTGCTGTCTTTGGCCTAGCTAACAGTGTGAGTGTGTGTGAATGTGTATGACCCCTGATGAGCATGTGACACCTTGTGTGGCAGCCTATGAATGTGAGAATGATGACTTGTGTTGTAGAAGTCCTTTAAAGGGTTGTAAAGACACAAAAAGCCTTATATATATATATATATATATATATATATATATATATATATTAGGGCTGTCAGTCGATTAAAATAGTTAATCGCGATTAATCGCACATTTTTGCTCTGTTCTAAATGTACCTTAGAGGAATATTTTTCAAGTTTGTAATACTCTTATCAACATATGAGTGGACAAATATGCTTTATGCTAATGTTTATTATCATTTGAACAATGACAAATATTCTCATGAATATTAAAACAACAACATCTGAACATTACAAATATTCGCCTCAATTCAACCTGGAACCTCTCTCATACAATAATACAATACAAATGGTGTGTGTGTGTGTGTGAGATGTGCGTTGGAGCTATGTGCAACTCAAGGCATATGCTCAAACGGGAGCTGCCTGGACGCTGCAATCATGTTGCGCATGATTGCGTACAATGTCCCACTGTCTGGCTTCCTGCATAAAGTCAAGTGCTCGGCGCAGTTGTGGCGAAATGTCGCTCCTCTGTTTTCATTTAAACAGCTCCTTATATCCGTTAGCGCAGCTAGCTAGCACCAGATGCTAACAACAACAATGCACGTAAGGTCTCTCTCTCGCTCGCTCGAGCCACACATACACACACCCTCCCGGTCCTCCAGATGGCCAGTCGGTGCCTGCCGGTGAGCGTGGAAGTGTGGTCTGCCACAAGCGGGCGGCAGGAGCGGGGCTGTCAGCATCAGCTTGTAGATGGTATTTTAAACTCGATGCGCTCTGAAACTACGGGGCGGCCGAGGAAAAAAAATACACATGCGTTAATCGCGTTAAAATAATTAGTGCCGTTGATTTTTTTTTGCGTTAACGCATTATTAACGCGTTAACGCAAAAAAAACTTGACAGCCCTAATATATATATATATACTCCAATTACATGTAGTGGTAATGTGCCAAGAAGCCGTCACTGAGTCAGCAAAGGCAGGGAGAAAGCAGACTTAGAGCAAGGTAAGTGGAGCTGTGGCTGGGGGGATTCAAAGGAAAAACTGTTGATAAATATGTGTTTTAATTTGTTAAACTGTCCTTTAATAAACAGCTACAACAAAAAGGAGGTGGGGATGACAGCTGTGAACACTTATAATAGCTATGTTTGTTGTTGAAGTTAATTATGATCATTTTTATAGAGATGCTTTGTAGGGAGGCCTGAGGAGACGAGCTAGTATTGCCAATTTGGCAACTTCCTGGATTTGGAGCTAGAGCTAAGAGCTACTTTTCTTGGAAAGGAGTTGGCAACACTCGGCTGAGTTTTTCAGTTGGATAATGCTCATAATTTGGCTCTTTCTGGTTTCTCTAATATTACCTACCCAGGCTATAACATTGGTTCATCCAAGTGTCAAGGATAAAGTGTGTGAGTGGTTGACCATTCAAATCAAAGAAGCTTAAAGAGCAACTTGCAGTTTTTTTTTTACTAGATTTATGCTTAACCTTGCCTGAAAATTACAATTAAAGAAGTTAATGCAGGATTTGATATGTTTTACGAGACATAAGGACAGGAATTCAGAGGGAAAGGAGCCGTTTTGAGCTCTGCTACTAAAAACTGCTTTTTTTTTTCAACGTCATACGTTTAACGCGTCATATTACGTCACATGGGGGAGCAACTTTCTCGGACTCCTTCTCTGCCCAATCCGCGGTAGCAGTTGGTAGTTGGTTTGAGCGGTTGTGATTTAGTGAGCTGGTATTTTTTCGGTAATTTTACATTGCATTTCACCATTTTTAATCACGGTGAGCCTGTCAGGACATCGAGTCCACAGTTTCCCTCACAGGAAAAGGTCCGGAGCTAGCTTTCGTTCCTGGGTGCGTTGTGCGAGGTGCATCCACCTCCCTGCAGCACATACTCTCCAGCTGAGGCCTATCAAACAAAACGTTTATCAGGAAACCGTATTACATCTCTCTCCCCCCCTTCACTGCTCTCTCTCTCTACCCCCACCCCCTTCGCTCATCTCTCTCTCCCCTCCTTCGCTCCTCTCTCTCTCTCCTCCGGTACACACAGCACCGTAAGACGTAGTGCGGAGTTGCATTAGGTAACGCGAGATACGGCTGATACTTGCGCATTAGTTTCTGTTATGGATCAGTATCAACAGTCCTGCCAGTAACGTTACTATATTATCAATACTACTTTAGTTATAGCCTGATATATGATAGCTAACTTTACAATGTTGCGATGTGACTGACGTTAGCTAACATTAACTGTAGCTAACGCCGGTCACTCACCAAGACAGCTGCCCTGTTCTCCACTGGTTCTCCTCACACCACAGCTCCATTTCTCTCCGATGGCCATTATTTCTTCTAATCCTTGGCTGCTCCTGGTCTCTTGGACGCCTAGCAGGCTCATAATTATAAGGTTGTGGTCCGTCATATGCATACGAATATACATTTTCAACCTCTTCTGGTCAAAACTAGCATTGTGAACCATGTCTATTAATACGTTAGACCTGCCGCTTTCCCTGACGTGACGTCACACGCGGGTGGTCTTTTTTTTAGTAAAAATGTCTTACAAAAACGATGCCAGATGTCACTGTAGTGTATATTTATGTATATATTTTCCTACACATTTATTCACTGAGGGTCTCTAACCTGCAACTTGCTCTTTAGGTCAAAGAATATACAAATGCTTTTTTTTCATTACTGTCATTATAAGTGATTTAAAATGCCATGATTGGTTTGATTTGAACAGCAGGACGGAAATCCCCAGTTGTTGTAAAACCTACAATTATAAAATGTGTTTATAGGTCACACTGTACTTAAAAAGGCACATATTATGCTCATTTAATTTCATATGTCTACTGTGACATGTCTCCATGCTTTAATGTTCAAATAGCTCTTTAATTGTTCTCATACTGCCCTGTCTCCCAAATTACCTGGGAAAGAGTATAGCAACCCTAAGCTCCAAACATTAATACTCAGCACATGTAGAACGTTTGTAATAAATGAATGCAGAGAGAGGAGACTGTACTGTAGAAGGAGAAGACATGAAATAAATGAATGCAGTGTTTACTCGCAACGCTTAATGCAAGTGTGTTATCTGCAGAGAGGGAGAGAGGAACCCATTTGGTTTGTATGCCCTCTGTTCTGTGTGTGAGAATGTGCTTATATAGTATGTGCTTGTTTTGTTTATCAGACTTATTATTAGCATCCTTTTGTTGTTTTTCCCGTCCAGAGGAAATGTGCGTATTTCTTTCTCTGTTGTGTGCTTTCTAACTTTTGAGGTATTTGTTTGCCGCTCCCAGAGTCTGCAGTATACTCTCACTCTGTGTGTTTAGTTCTCTCTGTAAATAGGTGTTGTTGTGTATGTCTACATCTCTCGGTTTTCTTTTGGCTTTAATGTGGTGTGAGTTTGTGGTTTGTATATCTCAAAATGTTTTCTCTATTTGTATTTGTGTGCACAATGGTTTCTCTGGAGTGTGCAAAGTGTTTGTTTGCTTTAGAGTGGTTTAACAACAGAACGGCAGGATTTAACTCAAAATCTGCTGCAACAAAAAGACACATTCCCTCTCCTCTAAATATTTTTCTCAGTGTGTACTTCCTGGTACTTGTCATTGTGTATCAGGTGTATTCATGTTTGTGTGCAGTAGTGTTACCTGCATGGCCTGAGGGGACTGTAGACTACATTAAGTGAGAGTGTTACGATTCCAGTCTCAGGGTCCCTCCTGGCTGATTCAGCGGAGACAGAGAGGCAGTCTTCCACATCTGAGCGCTCTGTCTCACTGTCTGAACGAACCGTGCACAGGAAGTCTTCTACCATCACCTGGGAAACTGTCAGGAAGGAAGCAGTGGGAAGAGGGTGATTGAGTTAGTGCAAGAAAGACAACTAGAAATAAAGACAACCAAAACAGATTTGAGGAGAAAATAAAATGCCTGCAATTTTGGTTTAACTTAAAAGGTAGGGTAGGTAAGAATGGAGGAACCAGCTCGAGTGCGCAAGTACACAACCAGAAAAAATCTGCCCCTTCCTTCAGACTTCCTTACAGAGCCCCTCCTCCAACACACGAACGCACACATGACCAATGAGGGCACGAGATAAGTTTGTGCACAGATGGCAGGCTGACAGGCAGGTAGGCCATCCAGTTACTTTAGCCGGGCCGGCTCAGATGATTGGTCGTGCTTTTTACAGTACTACGGCTTCCACAGATGAATTTTTTTTATGTATTTATTGTCAAAGCATTTAATATATTCATTGCTATCGGGATGTTAAGAGCTTTCCATGCAATATAACAAAAAGTGTTGCTGTGAATTACGTACTCCACCTTTAATGTCAGAATTATAACCCTCAAAATATCCCCTCATTGTTCAAAAAATGATCCTGCTTGTCCTCAATATCACAAACTGGCCCACACCTTCCTGGCTTTTCCGGACTTGATTCCCCGGCACATATCCAGTCAGCAGAACATCCAACTTCCTTTCCAGCTGGCAGCCCGCTTCACAACGGAGCACGCCAAGTGGAGAGTTCTCCACAGGCAGATCCATGGGAATCCCACGGAGAGGGTAAATCCAGCAGATGGTGGACGACTCCTGCTCTGACCTGAAATATTGATTGTGAGTGTGACTCAGTAATGGGGATAAACTCTGAACCAGTACTAGATGTGAAAACCTGTCAGACATATTACTAATGTAGAATATCTGTGGCAAGAATCTAACAAAATACCAACAATTGTGTTCAGAAGGTCAGATATAAGATTTTGAACTTTTACAAAGCTGAGGAAAATAGATGCTACATTTATTTAGCTGAGAAGATATTACCCAATTTTTGTATCTTTAGTCATAATGAAATCAAATAGTTATAAGAATCATTGTAAGTGTGACTTTTTAGAGTAAAAACTAAACATGCCGTACTCCTAATTGTAGCCAGTTAATCTGTTTGCACATTAAAACACAAGCCATTGTACAGAACTGTAAAACGTATGGATTATTGTGCTTTGCCTGCATGGGTTCTTATGAGGGGAAGGAGGCGGCGATCAATCCATTTAATGTGGTGAGGAGTTAAAGGACAAACTAAATGCTCTTTTTATGAGAAGTCGACCATTATCTCTTTTTAAGGTGAAAGGTTTTGATGAGCCAGCCTACAAGGAAACTGTGTCTCTGTCAAATATGCCTATAGAGAGGCGAAGTCCCGCCCATCTACTTCCGACCCATGGGACCTTATTTCGGAAAAAGTATGTATTGAAGTCAATGGAGAGAGAAAGATTATCTTTCGATCCCGTTTGAATTGTGCCACGAATTACACATATGATGTTTGCCAATCTTAAAAGATAATTTCCGTGTCAAAAAAGTCACAGTTTGTCTTAAAACTGTTGAAATATAAGACTATGAAAAATACGCAACTAGAAATAATACAAATCCCGGTCCCGCATGCTGGCTCTTACGGAACCAACTAACTCCCCTTGTGTATGTACAGACAACACGCCCAGACTTGTAGTGATTTTCACTTCTTTTAATACTTTCGTTCTGAAAGAAAGAAGTGAAATGTGCCAACGTGACGCCGTCTTGGTGTGTGGTGCGAGACGGGAGATGTAGTTCATTGAGCAGTTTCACACAAAGAAATGTGTTACTTCACAGTTTTACGACACATTTTAATTTTTTTGACTTGCAAAATTATCTTTTAAATTGACAAACATCATATGTGTAATTCGTGGCACAATTCAAACGCGATCGAAAGATAATCTTTCTCTCCCCATTGACTTCAATACATACTTTTTCCGAAATAAGGTCCCATGGAGCTCCCCCGGAAAGGGAGGGACTTCGCCTCTCTATAGTACAGCCTTCAGGCATAGACTCTGGCATTATGCAGACAATAATAAGACACACACACCTCACGTTACAGGTACTGCTCCCCGGGGTGCTGCAGGGCTTCATAGTGATGCAGAGCCAGGCATGCTGTAGCTCCATGGTGTAAGGCAAAAACACTACAGGAACATCCAAACTGACACCTTCACCGATCTGAATGCCTGCAGCCAAGATGAAAGACAGTCAACTACATTTAAAAAACAAATGTACTCCCCACTAACCTAAAAATAACGAATATAAATTAAACACCTGTGGTAACCATATCATTTTGTCCTAATGTTGTGAAAACCATATCAGTAACTCACCTTCAGTGTGTCTCAGAGGGATAGAGAAGACCTGCTTGTCAGTAGTTATTTGATGGTAGTTGGAGGCCCCATTTGGGTCCTTATCTAAGAAGTCATATCAATACAGACAGTATTATAAACATGTGAGTGTGACGAAAACACACATTTGAGGGACAACGTGTCTGTTAGAGAAAGAAGAGGACTGATTGTGACCTGTGAGTGAGATGTCGACCACGACTTGGAGCTCAGTGGGGTTTTTAAAGGGAATGGTGATGGAGGCGTTGGAGCCAATCAGGGATGAGATGCTCAGAGGCTCCTCGCTGTCTGGTATAAGGCCACGCCCACTAAACAACACACACCAATCCTGCAACTAAAAAAGGAAAGACTAACACAACAGCTGACTATAACTATTTTTAGATTAATTTTAGCATGTGGTTTTTGAGTTATGGCCAAAAATGTTTTGAGAAGTCACAGTGACCTTGATCTTTCACCTCCACAATCGATAGGGTTCAACCCTGAGGTAAAAGGAATATTTGTGCCAAATTTAAAGAAATGATTCCTTGGCGTTCCCGAAAATCACAAAAATGGGACCGAAGGACATAAAGACCAGCTGAAAACATAATGCCTCCAGCCACACTGGTGCAGAAGCATGAAGAGAATTAAACTATCCCTGCACCTACAGTCTGTGTGTCTGTGTGTAAGTGTGTGTATGTGTGAAGGCAGGCGACAGTGATGTATGAAATGAATTTGCTCTGTGTTTGTGTGTATACAGTATATACACCTGAGGGCATGTGAAAGTGATCTTTGCTGCGTGGTTCCCCTTTCCGATGGATGAAGGACTGAACCGGACACCAAGCTGGGTGAAGGAGTGGGGCTCCACAATAAGCTGGAACACACACATACAGGAAATAGCTTTCATGGGGACAGTAAGAGAGGATACACACTCATGCTTAAATCCTTTAAATCACACTGCTGGGCAACTTCAAGGCAACCCACAGCTTTCCACCCAGATGCACAGCAAGTGCTTTCATTCCGATTAGAAACAAGACTCATATTTGTTTGAAGATGTGTTGTTAAGTGTTTACTGTGTGGTTCTTTTCGGAGATTACATTTGAGGAACATGCAAAACACATCTATTGAACTTCAAAGAACATCAAAAGTAAAAGGTAATTTAATTTCCCCAGGGGCAAGGAGAATTCAAATGTATGCAGTGACATACATCTGTTCTAAAATAATCAAATGGAACACGGAGCTGAGGCACACAGGTGAGTGTTATAGCATGTACTAACTGTATTTCCTGAATCCATTTCCAGTGTGTAGTTTCTGGGGTTACTGTTCGTTACAGTCAACTCCAGAGTCTCAGCTGTTGGGTTAACCTGGGGGATGCTCAGCCTGGTCCATCTGACACACACACACACACACACACACACACACACACACACACACACACACACACACACACACACACACACACACACACACACACACACACACACACACACACACACACACACACACACACACACACACACACACACACACACACACACACACACACAAACACAAACACACTAGTTTGGCTTTCGCTACACTGTTTGCTTGACAGCTGATTTTTCTCAATTGGAATTAAACTTGAATCAACGTCTCATCAATATTGGCTCCCGGATGTAATGCCACAAAGAACTATGTCATGCATGTGTGACGTATCTGAGCCTTGCATTGAGATACTGTGTGTCTTGGTGTGTGTGTGCACCTACTTGCCCAGCTGACAGCAGTCCTCTGGTAGCCTGAAGACCGGTGGAGGGAGTGCATAAAGCTCCAGCTGATACCAAAACTCCCCCGTCTTCTCTGACTGGAACACCACACTGGCAGAGAACACACACCAACCAAATGTAATACTATATATGGACCACATTCACAACAATGGCAAATATGTCCTTTTGGATCAATCTAACAACGTATTTAATACTTTAATTCATCAATTGTGTAGGGGAACCTTTTTAACCCCCTTCTCCAACAAGAAGTCGGGTAGGGGTTTCACCAACTAATCGACTAGTCGACTACCTTTACCACTAGTCGGCGCTGTAGGCCCTAGTCGACTAGTCGTGAAAAAAATTGAGGTAAACGAGGTGCTGCAAAATGCTCCAAAACATGTCCGACATGCTTATGTATGGCAGTACTTCAACAAAGATGTAACCAACTCCACAGTGAAGTGTCAGTTGTGTACAGCTGTACTGAAGTACAACAAAAATACATCTGCTATGCGCAACCATCTGAAGATGAGACACCCGCTGCCGACAGCTAGCACTAGCAGTAATGCTAGCACCAGTGAGCAACGGACCGGCGTCAGCACAGGACGGAGGCAGACGAGCAGCAAAAACACGGGTCTACAGTGATGCGGATGATGAGCTAGGGTTTACTGCCAGCGGACACCGCATATCCCCACAATGGATAACCCACTGGAGTGGTGGGCAGAAAACGTGCACCGCGTCCCCTGTTTAGCCAAGCTTTCGAGGAGCTATTCCAGACACAGGCACCCCGAGTGAGAGGGTTTTTTCCCTGGCAGGCAACACTGTCACCCGAAAGCGGTCAAGCCTCCTTCCCTCACATGTCGATGCGTTGGTGTTCCTCAACGCAAACCAAACATCTGGAAAGGTGGACGTTATCGTGGAGGACAGCGAGTAAAGTGTTGCGCAATGCGCTGTTGCGCACTGGATTTAAGTGGCATTTCAGTAAACAGAGTTTTTTACTGTCGATTTTGGTGAGTCCAGTTACTGTTTGTTATTTACTAAGTCCAGTTACTGTTTGTTATTTACTCAGTCCAGTTACTGTTTGTTATTTACTAAGTCCAGTTACTGTTTGTTATTTACTAAGTCCAGTTACTGTTTGTTATTTACTAAGTCCAGTTACTGTTTGTTATTTACTAAGTCCAGTACTGTTTGTTATTTACTAAGTCCAGTACTGTTTGTTATTACTAAGTCCAGTTACTGTTTGTTATTTACTAAGTCCAGTTACTGTTTGTTATTTACTAAGTCCAGTTACTGGTTTGTTATTACTAAGTCCAGTTACTGTTGTTATTTACTAAGTCCAGTTACTGTTTGTTATTTACTAAGTCCAGTTACTGTTTGTTATTTACTAAGTCCAGTTACTGTTGTTATTGTTACTTACTAAGTCCAGTTATGTTTGTTATTTACTAAGTCCAGTTACTGTTGTTATTACTACGTCCAGTTACTGTTTGTTATTTACTACTCATTTCCCAGTTTACTGGTTGGTTATTACTACTAAGTCCAGTTACTGTTTGTTATTTACTAAGCTCCAGTTACTGTTTGTTATTTCTAAGTCCAGTTACCTGTTTGTTATTTACCTAAGTCCAGTTACTGTTGTTATTTACTTAAGTCCAGTTACTGTTTGTATTTACTCAGTCCCAGTTACTGTTTGCTTATTTACTAAGTCCAGTTACTGTTTGTTATTTACTAAGTCCAGTTACTGTTTGTTATTTACTAAGTCCAGTTACTGTTTGTATTTAGCTAAGTCCAGTTACTTGTTTGTATTTACTAAGTCCAGTTACTGTTTGTTATTTACTAATGCTCCAGTTACTGTTTGTTATTTACTAAGCCAGTTACTGTTTTTTGTGTATTTACTAAGTCCAGTTACTGTTTGTTATTACTAAGTCCAGTTACTGTTTGTTATTTACTCAGTCCAGTTACTGTTTGTTATTTACTAAGTCCAGTTACTGTTTGTTATTTACTAAGTCCAGTTACTGTTTGTTATTTACTAAGTCCAGTTACTGTTTGTATATTACTAAGTCCAGTTACTGTTTGTTATTTACTAAGTCCAGTTACTGTTGTTATTACTAAGTCCAGTTACTGTTTGTTATTTACTAAGTCCAGTTACTGTTTGTTATTTACTAAGTCCAGTTACTGTTTGTTATTTACTAAGTCCAGTTACTGTTTGTTATTTACTAAGTCCAGTTACTGTTTGTTATTTACTAAGTCCAGTTACTGTTTGTTATTTACTAAGTCCAGTTACTGTTTGTTATTTACTAAGTCCAGTTACTGTTTGTTATTTACTCAGTCCAGTTACTGTTTGTTATTTACTAAGTCCAGTTACTGTTTGTTATTTACTAAGTCCAGTTACTGTTTGTTATTTACTAAGTCCAGTTACTGTTTGTTATTTACTAAGTCCAGTTACTGTTTGTTATTTACTAAGTCCAGTTACTGTTGCCTAGTTACTAAGTCCAGTTACTTTATTACTAAGTCCAGTTACTGTTTGTTATTTACTAAGTCCAGTTACTGTTTGTTATTTACTAAGTCCAGTTACTGTTTGTTATTTACTAAGTCCAGTTACTGTTTGTTATTTACTAAGTCCAGTTACTGTTTGTTATTTACTAAGTCCAGTTACTGTTTGTTATTTACTAAGTCCAGTTACTGTTTGTTATTTACTAAGTCCAGTTACTGTTGTTATTTACTAAGTCAGTTACTGTTTTGTTATTTACTAAGTCCAGTTACTGTTTGTTATTTACTAAGTCCAGTTACTGTTTGTTATTCACTAAGTCCAGTTACTGTTTGTTATTTACTAAGTCCAGTTACTGTTTGTTATTTACTAAGTCCAGTTACTGTTTGTTATTTACTAAGTCCAGTTACTGTTTGTTATTTACTAAGTCCAGTTACTGTTGTTATTACTAAGTCCAGTTACTGTTTGTTATTTACTAAGTCCAGTTACTGTTTGTTATTTACTAAGTCCAGTTACTGTTTGTTATTCACTAAGTCCAGTTACTGTTTGTTATTTACTAAGTCCAGTTACTGTTTGTTATTCACTAAGTCCAGTTACTGTTTGTTATTACTAAGTCCAGTTACTGTTTGTTATTACTAAGTCCAGTTACTGTTTGTTATTCACTAAGTCCAGTTACTGTTTGTTATTACTAAGTCCAGTTACTGTTTTATTTACTAAGGTCAGTTACTGTTTGTTATTTACTAAGTCCAGTTACTGTTTGTTATTTACTAAGTCCAGTTACTGTTTGTTATTTACTAAGTCCAGTTACGTTGTTATTTACTAGTCCAGTTAGTGTATTACTAAGTCCAGTTACTGTTTGTTTTTATACTAAGTCCAGTTACTGTTTGTTATTTACTAAGTCCAGTTACTGTTTGTTATTCACTAAAGTCCAGTTACTGTTTGTTATTTACTAAGTCCAGTTACTGTTTGTTATTTACTAAGTCCCGTTACTGTTTGTTAGTTACTAAGTCCAGTACTGTTTGTTATTTACTAAGGTCCAGTTACTGTTTGTTATTCACTAGTCCAAGTTACTGTTTGTTATTTACTAAGTCCAGTTACTGTTTGTATTTCACTAAGTCCAGTTACTGTTTGTTATTTACTAAGCTCCAGTTACTGTTTGTTATTTACTAAGTCCAGTTACTGTTGTTATTTACTAAGTCCAGTTACTGTTTGTTATTTACTAAGTCCAGTTACTGTTTTGTTATTTTACCTAAGTCCAGTTACTGTTTGTTATTTACTAAGTCCAGTTACTGTTTTGTTATTCACTAAGTCCAGTTACTGTTTGTTATTTACTAAGTCCAGTTACTGTTTGTGTATTTACTAAGTCCAGTTACTGTTTGTTATTTACTAAGTCCAGTTACTGTTTTTATTTACTAAGGTCCAGTTACTGTTTGTTATTTTACTAAGTCCAGTTACTGTTTGTTATTTACTAGTCCAGTTACTGTTTGTTATTTACTAAGTCCAGTTACTGTTTGTTATTTACTAGTCCAGTTACTGTTTGTTATTTACTAAGTCCAGTTACTGTTTGTTATTTAATAAGTCCAGTTACGGTTTGTATTACTAAGTCCAGTTACTGTTTGTATTTACTAAGTCCAGTTACTGTTTGTTATTTACTAAGTCCAGTTACTGTTTGTTATTACTAAGTCCAGTTACTGTTTGTTATTTACTAAGTCCAGTTACTGTTTGTTATTTACTAAGTCCAGTTACTGTTTGTTATTTACTAAGTCCAGTTACTGTTTGTTATTTACTAAGTCCAGTTACTGTTTAAGTCCATTCACTAAGTCCAGTTACTGTTTGTTATTTACTAAGTCCAGTTACTGTTTGTTATTTACTCAGCCATGTAACACAAATTAAAATGCAGTGTTTAATGTAACTGTATGAGTTCCGATATAAAATACAGTTGTACACCTCTCTTTGTGTGTCTTTATTATGACGTACCGACTAGTCGACTGCTATTTTGAAAAACGTGTCGACTAGTAAATATTGGTAGTTGTGAAACCCCTAAAGTCGGGTGGTCTGCAGTGCTTCCTACCTGCCGGTGCTCTTCCCCACTGCGCCAGGGGAGAAGGTGGCTTTGTAGGTGAGAGTCTCCCCTGGAGGAATTGATACCCGGTTGGCTCCACTCAGGTCGTCTCCTTCCAGGTACACATCCAGCCTCAGCGGCTTCCCTCGTGGGTTTTTGACAGGGATCTCTATGGCAACTGAGCTCTGGGAAAGACATTTCAAAGATGACACCTGTTTCCACTTCTCTGATGATCTTTTGATCTTAGAGAAGAAGGAAGATTAAGCTTCCTGTAACAGTGGCCTGCAGCAGAAACACTACCCCTCCACGTCTTCTCTTTCAATAAAAATATCGTTCTCTACTCATATTTTTGCCTCTACCTCTTGAAAGATGAAAACATTCAAACAGTGTTTTCTTCAACGAGAGAGATTAACAACAAACTGAATGAACTGTGGTCCTGATTATTTACAAGTTTAGCTTTTGGTATACTCCCCAAGTCTGATTAAATGTGCCGATGCAACATTTGAACCATGAAGGTAATTAGCAAGGGTTAGTAAATACGGATTGAAAAGTGCGAGTGTGTAACTTACCTGAGCCACACACTGTACAACTATGAGCTTGATAGGCGCTGCTGGCTTACAAATGATCTCCAGAGAGAAATGAACCTCGTAGCACCCGGGAACATTTCCTGAATGACAGGCTGACACACATGCATATATCCAGAATAAATGCCAACACTCCGACACACAATAGTTTAATCAAGTCAAAGTGTTCTGCGCTCTAAATGGTTCATCTGCAGTACATGGTACAACACGAAGCTTACCTTTATGCTTGTCTGCCTCCTGTATGTTATACATTTCTGTAAATGACACATTGCCTGCAAGAAAAAGTGCTACGTTTATTATTTATTTTATTTAAGTCGTATTTAGGTTTTAAGTTCTTTGAGTTGTATGTAGTTGATGAAAATGAATCAATGCATCGTAATGAGCATGCTGTCCACTCATAGAAGTCTTTTTATTTCCTGTGTACCATCTTCTTCTACTCAACTGCCAATTCATAAACATGCAACACAATGACTACAACATTACAGAACACAGTTAATCACCAACATTTGAATATAGGTGATTAAACAGACATAAGACCAAAGGAAACCAAGAGTGTTTTAGTCTTTGTGCATCTGTTTAAGCAAATTGAATAAACTTTGATAAACAAATGAGCTGACATTTGAGCGCAGCTAACTGTTTAACTAACGAACCACACAACATCTACAATCACAAACATGCAGCAGGGGGGGGGGGAATCACCTGTTTGTTTTCCTCGTTTCAATGATGACACAGCCAGGGTGTATGGAGCGCTTTGACCAGGTTCAATCTCCAGGGAGGGGGGGCCACTTACAGCAGACAGGTCTGTCTCCACCTACATGAATGTGCATATGCATGTACACAAACACACATGACAGACAACAACCATTAATACAGAGGGAAAGGAAAGGCACAATATGCAATGTCTAGAAATCACAACGTTTGACGTTTTTGAATTGATTCTATTATTCGACAAGAAACAGATATTCAGTTTGCATAATAGTAAACCTTGATAGCAAGTAGCCGTTTGTGTGGATGTTTTTGCATGTCTGCTTGTACCTTGAGAGTGAGTTTGTTCTGGCTGTAGTTGGGGACATTCATCACTGTGTGTGTAGTTTGACCTGCTGAGCACTGTAGTAGCACATGGTCCACAGGCAGGGGGTGTTCTCCCACTCCTCCCAGGGTGAACACGTGCTCAGTACCGTCATGGTCATTATGTAAGGACAGCTTGCCCTGTGTGAGTAGGGATCAAGTCCAAGCAGTCATTTGGATTAGGATCACATTTTTTATAAACGTCTCACTCGTAAAACTATTTTTAAAAAGAGAAAGCTCAATAACAGTTAAAGAAATATCTGTCACATTCTCAGAAAGCCCTGAAAGATGATGTTAGCCCAGAGGAAGCTTACATTCCCAGATATCATCCTAACAGCTACAAAGGCTGCTGTTTGAGGCATCGAGGATAATTCTTGCACTCAAGCTGACTGTTCCCTGAGAGCATGGAGCGGAACGGGCTAACAAGAACTAAGGCCAAATAGAAGGGTTTGGTGGATGAGCAATGGTGGCAAGGGATTTGAAAGCATGCTTGTTACCTAAGCATTGATGCTTGATTGATCCTGAATACATTCAAACTCATAGCTACCACACTGTAAAGATTTCAGTGTAAGGCTGCAGCCACACGAGAGCGCTAACGGTCGTATCCGCTACAGTTCTCTATCATAGACGGTTCAGCCACACGAGGCCGACATGGAAATGTAGAAAACGATAACGGGTCCCTAGGTGGGTAGATCTGCGGACGAAACGCTCTGGGGGGCAAACGGCTCTGTGTCTACGCCTATACGATCATTTCCTGATAACGTTGAAGCAATAGCCCCGCCTCTCCCCACCTCTCCTGCTCAGAGATCAGCTGCTGGGCTGTCAGAAGAGGGGGAGGAAAAGAAGCATTGAAACCATTACAACGAAAGGCATTACCGTGACAGTGCATCGTGCAGAAGGGTGAAAGGTGAGGGGGTAGCAGGCTCTGGTCCCTGCTGGCACATTCAAAACCTTTGGGCCAAAAAATCCTCCTCCATACATCTCTGCCTGCATTCTCCAGTCTTGGTGGGTCTCATTGTGCTGCGAGAAACATAGGCATGATTATTTGACTCAAACAAACCATTTTTAAACATTTTAAAACATGTTAAAAGCTATTTTACAAAGCTGTCATTAAATCATTTTCAATTTTTCTGACCTAAAACTTTGAATATGATAGTTTTAGTCCAGTTATAAAATGTACAAATATATAGTTATACATTTCACACATGTTTGGTTGCTGTCTATGACTTCCACTAATTTTCAAGCAATCAGATTGTCATTTTGGAAGAGTCCTCTAAAATGATTCATAATAATCAATGGCTTTTAGGATAATGCTTAATAAGCAGAACACTATCTAGACTAAATCGCTATATTTGAAAGGCTGAAAACTGAATTTACACATGAAAAATAACAAGTGTTCTGTACTTATCATTGCGTCCTTATACACAGGATCTGATAAATGCATTTTCTCTTTCTCCTCACCAGTGGTATGTCTTGTGTGACTGAACGGTGAGCAGGTGAACTGAAGTCCAAGTGGACGGATCCTCCCTGTGGTCACAGATGAGTTGTATTAACATTATCCATAAACCACAAAAACCAATAACCTTTTTTAAGGGTTCCTGCAGGTTTCACCGACTCAAATTTAAGACTTTTTAAGACCTTTTTAAGACCACTTAGAATAGAATTTAAGACCTATTTTACGGCAAAAAAGTATGAAGGAAAATTGATATGAAAGAAGAAATACGTCCCATAATTACTTACAAAGTACATTTATTCATGTTCAACATAAGAACGATGACTGAACATAACAGCATAACAGTACACTGAACTGTGTTAGACAAAAAGTGTGTGTGAGAGTGACAAGAGCTATATTCAGAGCTCTGCTGCCTTAACTACAATCTTTCATCGCTGCTGTTGTATGATTGGTGTTTAACTACGGTATTTAGCGTCCACAGCACCTCCCCTTTTAGGGTTGACTAGACCCAAACGTCGCCTGGAGGCCCCCCGTGTTGTTTGCGGGAGCTGCTGCCAGGGGCGGACTGGCCATCGGGACGAATCCCGATGGGCCGGTACTGAAGTGGGCCGGTCGGACGATGTGGGCCGGCCGGTAACCGGCAGGGCTCGACATTAAATGGCCCGCTGGCCCGGAAGCACTATTTAGACACCCCGGGCCAGCATAACGTACTTTCCACTTGCCCGCTCGGGCCACTAAAAATATTGCTTTAAAAAAATTGTCCTGTGGTATTGGTATTTTGACTAACAATTTAGTTAAATTGTTTCGTTTATCAACGCTACAACATAGCGTTCCGTGAGTCGGTTATTGTTGTTGGGTGAAAAGCAAACAGCTGTTTGCTGCGGAGCGCTGCGGGAGCAGGCTCCCGTGAGCGCGCTCCTTCACGCCACCTAACCATTCGCCAAATGTTTTTAATACCAGCGGTAACCGGCCAAGCGCCGGGCAAAAAACAATCTTCAAATAAAAGAAAGTCACCGGAGGAGTTAAAGGAGAGTGACAGGGAGTATGAGAAGAAGAGGGAGAGAAAGTTTCAGCCAGCTTGATCGATGGAGTTGGTTGCAGTGATGCGTCCTAAAACCCTTTTCTAATCTATCGATTAGATTTATGATTCGAAAATTATAAAAGTAGGGTAGACATGTGGAGATTATCCGGCTGAACAAAACGTGCATTTATCAAACAGGTTTGTTTTCCACAGACCTTATTTCCAGCTATTTTCCAAAACCCTTGTCGAGGGAACCAACAGCTTACTTCCTGGTTTTAGGATGCGTCACTGCACCTCTCAATATGATGCCAATATAAACAAGGCCTTCTGTCGGCTCTGTACATCAATGCCGACCTATGCTGACAAGTAAGTGAAGAGTAGACAATATAAAGGTATTGGCGAAATGTCCCAGCAGTTTAGGAGAATGAAGGTTCTAATCAAATCTATTACATAGCCATTACATGTCTAACTCCTAATGACAGGAAGGCAGAAAGTGCATTATACAAATAATAATAGGCTACTCATAATAATAGCAGAATTTTTTTAACAATGACCACAATATCATTATTTTAATAAACCAAATATGAACAATTGAGGAAAATGAGGAAGAACTGATGATTAAAATGTTGTAGTACAAGTAGTAATGTAGTTAGTGCATAAATTACTACTGCAACAAATGTGTTAATTTTCTTCATTATTAGTCGATTTTTTTTGGACGAATGCTCCGTGGTTACAATGGTGGGGCCAGTGATAATACAAGTCCACCGGCCCGGAGGTAGACATTATTTACCCTTAATGTCTACCGCTAGTAAATTGTCAACCCCCCCGACAATTTACTAAAGGTAGTTACTTGCACTTGAAATGGGCCGGTCGAGAGTTCCGGGCTGATTTGTAGTCCCAGTCCGCCCCTGGCTGCTGCACTAGCTAACGCAGCATTAGCTAACGCAGCACTAGCTAACGCTGCATTAGCAAAACAAATGCTATTTTTTTTTGCAAAAGGTGCAGCGGGTTGAACTTAAACTTCCCCATATTTCTAGAGAAGTAGATTCGAAGATACCTGAGTTTCTGACTGCCGCTAGCTGAAGCTTGGTTGCTAGGTTACTAGCTGGGTGTTCTCTGCTAAGAGTAGCAGGTCTCCCTTGAAAAAGAGATCAATGATCTCAATGGGATACACCTGGGTAAATAAAGGTTTGAAATGAAATGAAAAGGGGCTGGGGGAAACAAAGTTAGTGAGTACTGGTTCCATGTTGATTTAATTCAATACAAATTGTTGGGGGGAACTGAAAGGCTCTTACCGTACTGGTTGCTTTGCAGCCCGGACATTTCCCCCAAAACACATTTAGACGCGATCGCTACACAGAAGTACCTTTCAAATCCGATCATTTTTAAGACCTTCTAAATCATATTTAAGACCTTTCTTTCTTATTTTTTTGATCATATTTAAGACTTTTTAAGGCCTTAAATTGAGATCATCAAATGTAAGACATTTTAAGACATTTTAAGACCACGCAGGGACCCTGCCTTTACTTAATATACAATGTACAGGTTGACTAGGGTCGATATCAGCTGATATTTACCTGTGAAGTAACCTGTGCCTCAAGCACATAGACCCTGGTATCACACCAGGACCTCAGGATCACCTGACAGGTAAACTGGCCCACGCAGTCCGCCTGGAAACGTACTGGGATGTCCACACAGCCACAATCTAATGACCTCACAGAAAAGGAGATTTATGAAGGGAAGGATGTTGATAATTAAAGGAGTAGTGTAAACCTTTTCACCTCAGGATGTCTCGTTCTCATGCATTCCATGACATCTACTCACATATCATTCACACAACAATACATTCTGTATGTTCTAGTGTTAATTTCGTCAGCTATTTTTTTATTTAGTTTTAGTCTTAGTCCTGTGTTAAATTTCCTTTTTAGTTTTAGTCATATTTAGTCACCTTCATCCTGTTTTTATTTAGTCAAGTTTTAGTCGACTAAAAGTCTGAGCATTTTAGTCTTATTTTAGTCAAAGAAAACTAATTATTTTAGTCTACTATTTGTCAATGAAAACTGTTGAGTCTTTTTTAGTCATCAGATTATAAAGAACATTTCAGTCAAACTAGTCTAGCCAAAACCAATCATTTGTCATTTTAGTCAAACGTATTTCACAATAAGATTATATCTTGTCCATATTTGATGAAAAACACAGGTTGAATGATTAAGAAGCTTTGCAGAGAGTATCTGGTCAGGTTTGTGGTGTTTATACCAGCTGTGTTATGGCCACATTGCTTCCCTTCTGATAAAACAATGCATTCACTTTTTTTCTCCGCCTCATTGTAGCGAAAATGGGCCCAAATATCACATTGTTTCTTTCTCCCAAGCAGTGGTGGCTTTAGACTTTTTCGTTGTCAGTAATTTTGACAGACAGGATCGTAACATTTCTGTCATAATCCATTATTATCCGTCGAGGGCACAATTTATCAATCACTCGCACTGACGGGGGGGTATTCGGTTAACGCGAGTGCGACCACTGCTCCCAAGCCCTGTTGTTGCCATTTTATTTTCTGTTAAATAAGGTTAGTTAGACCATGAGTTAGACCATGAGTTAGACCCGAGTCTTCCTGACAGTTCATATTTTGCAGCTGCCCGGTGTAATTCAAATCTACCGCCGCGCGCAGCACATACACACACAGCTGCTGCCCAGCGCAGCACCGGAAATGGAACTGCTGGGAGAAAAACTGACTATCAGAGATGTAACGTTATCTTTGATAATATTTCGTCTCCTCGTTTTACGTCAACGAAAGTAAAGAGAGATTTTGGCATAGTTTTTATTTAGTAAACTACATTTTCGTCTCGTCACTTTTCGTCAACGATATTGCATGATGATTTCGTTACAGTTATTGTTTACTGCCGTCGGTGCCGTCTCGCCATCGTCTCGTTTTCGTCATGGAAAAAAAGGTCGTTGACGAACATATTTCGTCATAGTTTTAGTCAACGAAATTAACACTAGTATGTTCTCATGTGTGTGTACCTGCAGGATTCTCCCATGGGGTTCTGGTTTCTTCTCTTATAGGTACTGTAACGGTACTGGGTAAAGCAAATTTCTGTGGCAAAGAAACCTCCACGCTGTATTCCACTTCTTCACCTTGGTAAACACCTCTGAAGAGTTGGGCCTAAGAGACAAGAGGGACAGAAAGTAAAATATGGACAACAGGGAATCCACCATTTGTTTGGAGAGCTTACGTACAGCAGTGGTCGCCTTCACGGTGCTGCTATGCAGAGTGTGTGTAATCATGCGTCTCCTGTATTCATCAGCGCTCATGCTGCGCTGACCCCAGAGAGCCAGAGCTTGCTCCCGGGCCATATTGATCAGAGGCACACGCAGCAACTCCTCACACACCTGGCCCACTTTGCAGTGTAGGCTGAGTACTGATACTAACACAGCTGGGTCTGTTGGTGGAACAAAACAGTGAAGTTATTGGATCAGCTAATAACAATGCACACACTACTTCATATTTAGGTGATACAGCTTAAGTGATTATATTACTAACAGTGCCACTTCAATGTCATAACAATATGTTGTCTGAGGAAAAGGAACAATTCTGTAAATGATACATGAATTAAAATGATTAATGATCATCTATTTGATATCAGTGTAGGTTAGTAGGTGGGTAATGTTTAAAAGTGTTAATGGAAAAACAGCTACAGTTAATATCATATAGTTTACCTCTGATTGTGCCATAATGGTCTAAAGTATTTTATATATATATATATATATATATATATATTATGGAGACAGGTTTCCTACCGGAGTTGCTGGGGATGGAGACTATGTTAGCACTGGGCCTAGCGGTAAGAGGGGAGGGAAGAGGCAACTCTGCTGTGGCCTTCACCATGTACACCATATCTCCCACCTATAAGGTAAATATGCACTGTAAATGGTCCATTTACAAGCTTCGAAATTCAGTGTTCAAGTTATAGGCCAAAATATGTATTACAAATCTTTTCAAGGGATAGACACACATGACACAGACACTGACCTGTGGGCAACCCAGCAGCACGGAGCAGTACTTGGTGCCCGGGAAGAAGGGCAGGTAGTGGATGCTCAGAGTGTCTGCTTGGCCTGGCTTCAGACAAACACTCCTCACTGCACTCAGGAACTCACTGCATTCACCATCTGTGCACACATACAAACTGAAATGGACCACCACCAAACAGACACGAATAAAGTTGTATACACACCAGAGTTCCCGTTAGCCGGTAATTACCGGACTACGACCGGTAAAATATGCTGAAGACCGGCAAATCTAAATCTCTCCGGTCAAAGTGTCCGTTCAAAAATAATTTCCGCTTAGCGCAATACCACATCAGTTGCGCAACTTGCGCCATTTATGTGACAGACAAAAGAGTATGTGACAGACAAGAATAGTCAATTCTAATGTCTAACCTGTGTCTAACACGTAATGTGGAGAAAGAGATGTCCTGTGTGGGTTGATTGTGCGTTGATCTGTTGGTAATGCCTCGGGGTTCCGGTGGGCATGTAAACAAATGCATAATGCTGCGCTATACTTTGTGGCCTCACCCGGTTGCATAGCGACGCTTATTGTTTAGGTATCTTTTAATAAGCAGGTAGTCCTATCATTAGCTAGAACTAGCTGGATCTGATCGATATGGACATAAACGCGAGTGAAGTCTAATCTGACGGGAGAGAGAGATCAGCTGCTGCTGACGAGTCGACACGCAGCTCTGCATGATCACATGCAGCGGTGAGCGGAACAAAACACACACTACAGGTTAGAATATCACACGTAGCTATTTTAATTACCTCTCAAACTACCGTAACTAGTTATAGATATGTTTAGTTTTACTGTCGGGTCACTCATTACTGATCCGCGAGCTGCATGATACTGACGGGCTGTCAGGAAAGGGAGAGCGCTCCGTTTATTATTCCCGTGTTATTGTAAATTAATGAACATTTTGAATAATGTAGTTAATCTACTATAATTAGTTTGTTTAATATCGAATCATATCAATTTGTTTTAAAGCACAATAAATAACAAAGAAGACCTTTGACCGGCACTTTTCTCATTTTGTCCGGAAGATTTAAACTTTAACGGACATGTTGACCGGCGAAAAAATATTCTAACGGGAACTCTGATACACACACACATTAACAGTAATTAAGTAACATGTGTGGATGTGTGTGATGTACTAACTGAAGTCTGAACCCTTCCCTTCCATCTCATCCCCGCAGCTCTTGTCTGAAGTCATCTTCTTTATACTGAAAGACGGCAGAGGAGGGAAGAAATTCATAATCATTCACAGTGTATGGATATCAGACTACACAACCTGATACAGCTGCACCAGAGATGAACTCAGTTCTACTTCAAATCCTCATAGTCGACTCCTGATTAGGAGGAGGAGGAAGTGCAATGTTTGATGCTTTGAAGATGTCTCAGGTGGGGAGAGATGCATACTAACCAGCTTTCCTTAATGACAACCCGGTACTCTTCTGAGGAGTAACCTCATACTGTACCTCTCTCGACCTTTATCTAGCTTCTGAAGCCCTGAGCAGCAGGAGAATCACCCTGTCTTTTTGCTAAATAAGCTATTTTGATAAGCTACTGTAAAACCACTGTGCAGAAAGGATTGTATGTGTTATTGAGCTTTCAAAAAGTAGCAAGACACTGCTTAAGACACAGGGTATATGCAGGAATCCTGAAGTCACATGTAAGACCTTTTAAGACCTTTTTTAAGACCCTTTCCACACATTTTAAGACCTCATCGCCACTTAGAGTTTTAACCGGTTACATTGGCGACACACTTTACCTCACATTGACTATATACAGTATTGATTGTCCTTCCTCCTTATCTTCCAACCATTTGGACGCAAACTTGCATTTCCCCATAACGATGTTGTTTAACAACCGGCGTAAACGGGCCTTCGCGCGCTATCAAGCAGTGAGCGTGCGATGTCCTGTTCAGATGACGTCAAATCCAACGGGATGCCATAAATAAACTACACAGAATCACACTACACACCTACGCAATGATTACATTCAGGCAGACTGTAGAATACAACCTCTTTGGACCATTTATATACTTATTGAAAACAAGCTACAAAATGTAATACCTTGGAAAATGCCGTTTAATACTTTTTAATAGCCTTCATTTTACTTTTTAAGACCCCGCGGACACCCTGATAAATGATTTTATGTGTTATTGAGATTTCAAAAAGTAGCAAGAGACTGAATGCGGTTTATCAGACTGAATTCTCTGTCTTCGCTTGTATTTAGACAATATCAACCATTAATTTGATCTTCATTCTTAAAAAATGTTTTAGCAATGTATCCATATTTATCTCAAACAAAAACAGGTGAATATTGGATTGCAAAAATCTGTATAGTATTGTGGCTACAGTAGCTTAATATGTTTAATTTGATGTACTTAGTGTTGGGGAAATATTTTCCAAGGCCCATAACTTTGACCCAGTTTATCAGTTCATACTGTCCTGACTGAGCACACGCACCTGCAACCTTGGCTGCTGTGCTCTGAGTGTTTTGTCTCCCTGTTCCTGTCACAATCTGTCTGTGTTGTGTTTTGTCTTGTTTAGATCTGTCTTTGGTTTCCTGTCTGTGTGTGTTCCCTCCTACCTGTTTACTTGATTGTGTTCACCTGTTGCCCCTGTGTTTTCGCCTCCCTCCTCACCTGTCTCTTGTTTCGTTGATTAGTCTTGTGTGTATTTAAGTTCTGTTTTTGCTGTCTGTCATTGTTGGTTCGTCGTTTGTGTTTTGATTTTTGACGTTAGCCTTGAAATAAAGGATTTTTCAGTGTTATCTGCGTTTGGGTCCTGCTTGCTTCACTCACCGTAACAGAACCAACCAACCAAGAATGGACCCAGCAGACAGTTTGTACGAGGTGAAGTACAATTTAACATGCTTGAGGAATAACTTTAGATATGCCTCCAGTACTGAAGAGAGGTAGTCAGTTATTTCTGTGGCACGCCAGGAGGTAACCTCAAGGCCCTGGTTGAGGGAGTTGCTCCCCGAGTGGGTGGAGGACTTTTTGGGCAGCTTTGAGGTCAAACCTCTTTCCCGGCCTGCTAGCTCCAGGCATGCTAACCCCCTGCCTCCCAATTCCCAACCTGACACCATACGTCTCGGTGTGTTCCGTCTGGAGTCAACCTCTGCTTCTTCCCCAGTTCCTGCTCCTGTCCAGGAGCCATTCTCTGGAACTCTGGCTTTTGGAGGTCCACGGAGCATCCAAAAGGCTCCTAAGAGAGGGAGTCGCAAGTCCAGACTAGCAGCCCGAGCCCCAAGAGTCATGGTTCCGGCCCCAGTTCTGGCCCCAGCAGCCATGGTTCCAGCCTCAGTCCTGGCCCCAGCAGCCACGGTTCCGGCCCCAGTTCTGGCCCCAGCAGCCATGGTTTCGGCCCCAGTCCTGGCCCCAGCAGCCATGGTTCCAGCCTCAGTCCTGGCCCCAGCAGCCAGGTTCCGGCCCCAGCAGCCATGGTTCCGGCCCTGGTTCCGGCCCCAGCAGCCATAGTCCCTCCTCTAGTCCCTCCTCTAGTCCCTTCCCTAGTCCCTCCTCTAGTCCCTTCCCTAGTCCCCTCTCGAGTCCCCTCTCGAGTCTCCTCTCGAGTCCCCTTTCTAGTCACCTCTCGAGTCCCCTCTTAAGTCCCCTCTCCAGTCCCTACTCAAGTCCCTACTGAAGTGCTGTTGGAGGTTCCGCTGGGGGTCCTGCCAACTCCATGTCCTGTCCCGTTGGGGGTCCCGCTGACTACTCTTCTGCCGGGGGTCCTGCCAACCCTATGTCCCGTGCCGTTGGAGGCCCCGCCGACGATTCTTCTGCCGGGGGTCCTGCCAACCCTATGTCCTGTGCCGTCGGAGGTTCCGCTGGGGGTCCTGCCAGCTCCATGTCCTGTCCCGTTGGGGGTCCCGCCGACTACTCTTCTGCCGGGGGTCCTGCCAACCCTATGTCCTGTCCCGTTGGGGGTCCCGCCGACTGCTCTTCTGCCGGGGGTCCTGCCAACCCTGTGTCCTGTGCCGTTGGAGGCCCCGCCGACTACTCTGCTGCCGGGGGTCCTGCCAACCCTATGTCCCGTGCCGTTGGAGGCCCCGCCGACGATTCTGCTGCCGGGGGTCCTGCCAACCCTGTGTCCTGTGCCGTTGGAGGTCCCGCTGAGAGTCCTGCCAATCCCATGTCTTGTTCCGCTGGAGGTCCCGCCGCCACCTGTCTCGCCGGGGGTCCTGACAACTCCTGGTCCTCTTCCGTGGGGGATCCTGCCGGAGCCTGTCCCACCGGCTCCGGTTCCTGCCCGGCCTCCGGAGCTGTCCAGTCAGCGCCTTCCTGCCCGTACTCCGGAGTTGTTCCGTCGCCCCCTGCTTCGCCCTCGAGCCCGGCCCTCCTCGAGCCCGGCCCCCTGAGAGCCACGGTCTTCGCCCTCGAGCCCGGCCCCTTGAGTGCCGCGGCCTTTGCCCTCATGCTCGGCCCCCTGAGTTCGCCCGCTGTGGTCTTCGCCCCACCATGGACTCTGCCTTGCCCCCGGGCCGTCCGCCCGAGACCCCCACCATGGTCTCTGCCTTGCCCCCGGGCCGTCCGCCCGAGATCCCTTCCGGGCCCTCCGCTGTGCTCCTGGGCTGTCAGCCCAGGCCCGTCCTCCTGACCCCCTCCACCCACCCTGGTGGTCCTAGTTTTGTGTTGCTGTTGTAACGCTGTAAATGTCCCTGCTGTGGGCCGAATAAAGGATTTCTGATTCTGAACACATATGACAGTCTCATAGATCTTCTTATCCAACTCTCAGCAAGAAATATGACAGGTGTCAAACTTTGTCTTTAACTGTGTGTGTATGTGTCTATACAGTATACCAGTCTTAGATTGTGTGTATTAGGTTTGTGAAAATGGTGTGTTACTTGGTATTAGAGGATGCTTTTTGAACAGGGCTGTTTTTTTTCTTTTCAGGCTCCACAGGGTTGAATAGAGACTCCACCAGCCCCACCCTAAACACACAAACACATAAATAAATCAGGCTTGAATATAGCAATAAAACAGACAAACACACTATACCAAGACTCTCTCTGGAGTCACATTGCTGATGTTTTTTATGAATTGTCTAGTGTAGTAAGCAATGCAAAACACAAATGTAATCACAGTATCTTAAACTCGGGTAAATAAAACATATGTCACCTGGATTCTACTAGGTTTTCTTTTAGCTTTGTGTGCACAGACCCTTAAAAATGTTAGCATATAAAGTCATAAATCTAGTATATGCATAATGTGGACCTTTTTGATTCCGTCTTTCATGTGGGCGTGGACACACGACACCTACCTGAACGTAGCTTCTTTTTTGAAAGGGTTATTTATTGGCACTTGGATCACTTTCTGCTGGTAGCATGGAGACTTGCACTTCACAGTGTTCTAGTGAGAGACAGTACAGAAGCAGCATCTCTGTAACTGCCCTCAAAAACACACTGTATTACAAACTACTGGCATGGTAGGTAGGTAGGTAGACGGACGGGTAGGTAGATAGACAGACAGACAGACAGATAGGTACTTTATTGACAGACAAAAGAGAGACAAAACCTGAACAAGGAAAAAACAGCATTTCTGGCCATGAAGAAATTCTTATGTTGGGAAAAATCCCAACTTTCTACAGTTTCTTAATCTACTAAATCTTCTTCACACACTGAACAACGTGGTGTTTCATTTTACAAAACAAAGAATGTAAAAGAGGCAAACATGTATATCCTTTTGGTCCAGCCAACTGAATGACAAATCAGAATGTGAGCCTTGAAGACAACTATGGCAGTAGTGAAGTAAATGTAACATGATACTTACTGTGGGTGTGATATGGCTGACGTGGGTCTTCAGATTGAAGGCGAGGGTGGTGCTGCTCAGGCCAGAAGGAGAGCTAGAGATGAGCAGGATGACGGCCTCCATCGGCTGAAAGACGGAGCAGCTGAACTGCACGGCCAGTTCAGTGCTAGCCCTGTAAAATGGCCGCAACACATACCTGATTATTTTCTGAATTGACGTGAGATACTGTAAAATTAGGATTGTGAGAAGCAGTGGCTTTTATTTTCTAGATAAAAAACATACTTTGGAGGAATGGTGACAGAAGATCCATTAGGGAGGGAGAAGAGATGGGCATCCTCTCCTAAAATGTAGACCTGGTATTTGATTGGCTCAGATGATGGGCTTTTGAGACGCACCTGCAGCCCAAAAACACAGAGAAACAGCTTTTGGTACACACAAGCACATCCCCAGCAAACAAATGGCCCTGCCACAAAACGACAAATAAATCTTCCTTCGTACAGACAAACTGACATCTACTTTTGTTAGGCTTGTAATGTGGCTTAACTTGACAATGCGGATCATTACCCAAATGTATATTTGTCTATATTTGTAATCCTGTTAGTGTGTGTGTCTATAATCTCATTAAATGTATGTGTGTGTCTATAATCCTGTTAATGTGTGTCGTTATCTGTCTGGGAGCTTATTATCCAAGCCATTTTCAGCTTCACCGTGCTCATTTATTTGATTTACAAGGCATGCAGTTCAATTTCTGTTTAGAAATTCAGTTTAATTTCTGGCAAGGCAAGTTTATTTATATAGCACCTTTCAACACAAGGCAATTCAAGGTGCTTTACAAAAATGAAAGACATTCAGACAAAGGCATTTCAAAACAGTAAAAGATAATAAAAGAAATATTAAAAGAAAAAATACATGAATAAAAAGTACATGAATAAAAAGTTACAGTGCAGTTTAAGATATGAATAGTTCACACAGAAGTTCTACTTTACTGATGAACACAACGGCTCAGTTTCAATTACAAGCAGCGACAAAAAGACAAGTCTTCAGCCTGGATTTAAAAGTAGTCAGAGTTGCAGCGGACCTGCAGGTTTCTGGGAGTTTGTTCCAGATATTTGGAGCATAATAACTGAACGCTGCTTCTCCATGTTTAGTTCTGACTCTGGGGACAGAAAGCTGACCAGTCCCTGAAGACCTGAGAGATCTGGATGGTTCATCATTTAGCATTTGGTCAGAAATGTATTTTGGGCCTAAACCATTCAGTGCTTTATAAACCAGCAGCAGTATTTTGAAATCTATTCTTTGACACACAGGAAGCCAGTGTAAAGACTTCAGAACCGGAGTGATGTGATCCACTCTCTTAGTGTTAGTGAGGACTCGAGCAGCAGCGTTCTGAATCAGCTGCAGCTTTCTAATAGATTTTTTAGTGAGACCTGTGAAGACACCATTGCAGTAGTCCAGTCTACTGAAGATAAAAGCATGGACAAGTTTTTCCAAATCCTGCTGTGACATTAGTCTTTTAATCCTAGATATGTTTAGCTGCCTTCTTAGATCCAAATCAGCATTGTGTATATGTGTGTAAATTACCTGTTTGCTGAAAGTGCTGTGCAGGCCTCCTGAAAGAGTGATGGTCTGCAGTGGCAGGTACTGAGGCAGCCTCTCATACAGGTGAACACACAGGATTAACATCTGCACTGGATTAGGGTCTGACAAATCTGTGGGCTGAACACATTACATACACACACTCAGATATAGGGACACACAAACACAAAGGAAGTGCTTCCTAATCTCTGACCTAATCATTGTGATATATTGATGCTCAGGTATGCTAAATAAGTCATAAATAGGGCAATTGATACAGTAATTATCTAATATTTTTCTGTCACATTTGCTTGGATTTACAATGTGGATGATATTAATCTGTACTAAATATGTCCACCAGTATTTAAAGGCAATGATTTAAAGCAATTCCTATGCAGTGAAGTACATTGATCTTAACACACAGATTAACTCTGGTATGTGTAAAGAAGTGTTTCCATAAAAACAAAGCCTATGACATTGATACGATATGATCTGCCTTTAATATCTTGAAACTCATACTCAGACCCGGCCCCATGGGGCCGGGCCCGCCCATCCAGGATTTGGGCCCGCTGTTTTAATCAGGGCTGAATACAACATTTTAATTGTTTTATTATTATGTTCAGTGGCGGCGCCAGGGTATACTGGGGTAGGCTACAGCCATACCAAGAAATGGCTTAGCCCCACCATGAAAAATGATTTTACAGTAAGCAAAATAAAGTCCGCCAACTCGCGGAGTAAATTGCAGACAGCAGTAAATACCGAAGACTAGAAACGGTTTGAAAACTTTTGTCACGTAGTGATCGTCTTCTCAATAGAACATCTTTGATAATGTCTTCTGGCCAAACAGAATCACGATAACGACGTGGTGTTGTTGCAGGAAGTCCCAACGGAGAATACTTTTGCTGTAGTAAATCTCTATATAGGTACATCGATACAACATTACGTGTTGCTAGAAATCAACACATAATGAAATAAGACCCCACGGTTTGATGATTGATGTGTGGGCTGTCTTTCATTTTGACACACAGAACAATGGGGGCTATCCACCCTTATCCACAATGTAAAGTCATTCACAGCCTCTTCCCTCTTCTCTCTGTGAGGATCAGCAGGTTCAGCTTTCAGAACAAAGTAACAAAAAACTAAAATGGCATTCATTTTTTTTTTTAAATATGTCGTGTAGTAATACATTTATTTATTGTTCTTCTCAAGAGAGTACCAGAATGTGTATTTTATGTTAGTATTTCAAAAAATCTCCTGGGGGAGATTCTCCCCAGACCCCCCTGCAGGGGTTGTGTTTTCAGCATGTCAACTCTTTCACCTGTGGAGAAATTGCAGGATTGGCTCCAGGTCGCCCTTTTTATTTACTACAAGACAAATGTGCCTTTTTATTTCATACAGTTCAATTTGGATTGAGACAGGGAAATAATCTAAACCTCACGCGTTTCACTGTCAAGGGGAGCGTGTATGTAATTACATTGCAAATACTGACTTGAGCCCCACCACTGTATGGGTTAGCCCTACCATAGATTACCCAACACAAATACTCTGGAGCCGCCACTGATTATGTTTATTGTTGTTATTTGTAGGGCTTTGTCCTAATATTTATTTTTGTTTTAAACTATGTTGAAAGATTAGTTTAATAGCATTTTTTTTTATTTTGCTATGAAATTCTGAATGAAATTCTGAATGAAAGGCTGCGCGCGAGACTGGTTTATCGCTGGGTTGAGTCGTGTGGGTTTTTGAGTGAGATGCGGCACAGCAGCCTGTCAGTTTACTCTTACTAGGTTAGTTTGGCTATTATCATTTATATTTATCTGCAACAATGGATATCAGGAAGTGGTTCACACTTATACACTTGAAAGCAATATGGCAACTCAGCGCCAGATTAGAAGACATTTACGTTACCAACGAGCTAGCAAGCCAGCCAGGGACAAGGGAGGCAGGCAATTATATTTTGAAGAGAAATTGACTCTCAAGCCGGCTCTCTCACAAACTCCTGCTCTGTGTGCAAGCAGACCGCTGCACATGCTCTCTGCCTCGCTCAATTTCTCTCTCTCTCCATCGCTCAACCTTACTCCACCTTTCCACCCTGTGTGCGCTCAAGTTTGCCTGCGTCAACAGCCTTATGGCAACCTAACCCCACCCCCTTGACAAATCTCGAGATTTCCCGGGAAATGTAAGTTTCGGGGTGGGCCCGCCCTGGTAAATCAAATGCCCGCCCAGAGACGTATGTCTGCCGCCGGGTCTGCTCATACTGAAAGTGTGAGGGTTTGAGTTGTGTTGTGTCTAGTTGTGGGGTTATTTTGCTGTTCTGTTCTCCCTGTCATGTTTTCCTCCTTGTTTCTTGTCTGGTCCTTCTCCCTGTCGTTAGTTTCCCTGGTGTGTCTAATTGTCTGATTGTGTTCACCTGTTGCCCTTGTGTTTCTCCTCCCCTGCCCGGCTGTTTCTCGTCTCGTGATTACCCCTCCCTGTATTTAGTCTTGTCTCTTCCTGTGTTCGGTGTCCAGTGGCGACTGGTCATTAGGGGCAGGTTAGGCACAGCCCCACCTAGTGTCAGCAGAAAGTATTAAAAATAATGATTACAACAAAATGCAAAAAATAAATAAAAAAATATATTTTAAGATCATGTTTAATCATCCGATTCGTCTGTACATTGCTGTTTTAGTATGTGTTCTTCTAATTAGTGTCTACAGTGTGTGCCTATTGAGCTGTTTAGAGCCATGTGGGACAAAACCCGATCCTGCCCCTCCCTCTCACTGTCTAAGTGAACGGTGACTGTAAAAACTACACTGCGCATGCTCAGAATATTTTCCTATTTAATGTGTGTGGCAAAAAAATAATGACCATAGGGGCATAGTGCTGCCATCCCCACCATACGTCCTCTCACATCATTCAGAGCTGATTGGCTGTAAGTACGTGTGCCGCGAAAAGTGTGGTGTGTGAAGAGGAGACGAGAGACGCGTCCTAACACCCGGAAGTAAGCTGCGCATGGCTTCCCTCCACAAAAAAGCAATGAGATGTATCCATAGGATTTTAGAAAATAGCTCCAAATAAGATCTGTGGGAAACAAACCTGTTAGATAAATGCACGTTTTGTTCAGCCGGATAATATCCACATGTCTACCCTACTTTTATAATTTTCGAATCATAAATCTATTGATTAGATTAGATTTATGATAGACTTTTGAAACTACAAGAACATAAGGAGGACTTTTACAAAAAAGTAAGAGATTTTTGTCCAGAAGGATAGGCAAATGGACTTCATCTTCATGTCAAGGTAAGACTGCAATTTGATTGAAAATGGGATCTTACTAAGAGAGAACAATTCAATATTTAAATGATAAAATTACATTTTTTGGGTATCCTTTTGTTGAACTGTCTGTTTAAAATTAATTGAAGCATCAGACAAAAAAAGCTATTGAAAATAATATTATATTTTGATTTAGGTCAAAATATAATATGTGTAAACCTGAAGTGCCAGTGCCTCACCAGCCATGAACCTCAGAAGCTTATATATAGACATCTCAGTTTGTTGTGCCCCACCACTTTTGTACATATAAAAACGCCACTGTCGGTGTCGGTTCATTGTTTGTTTGTCCTCCCTTCACGTCTCATGTTTTTCTCTCCGGTCTTCTTCCATGTTTTTCACGGTCAGTTTTTATGTTATTGTTTTCCTGAGCTACCGTTTGATTCATGCCATGTTTTTGTGATCAGCTTTGCAATAAAGCTCGCTTTTTGTTTTCTAGACCAACTTAACTTTTTTTGTAGTTTGCTTTTGGGTCCTACCTTTCCCATACCGTAAAACAGAAAGGATACACTGTCTATACTTGGGATGAGGTATAAAGGAAGGCTGACTATTTCTAACACTGGTTTACCTGAGATGGAGCATGGACCAGGCTACTTTTTCATTTAAACTGAGATCAGACTGATTAAGATACCTTTTTTCTTAAAATAGGCCTGGTTTATCTTGCTGTTAGAAGCACTCCTCTGGTCACATCTGGTATTTACCTGAACATCTAGGTTGAGAGAGAGTGCTGTTAAAGCCTGGGCTACTATGATGTTGTTGTGAAGGATCTGTTCCAGGCTGTTGGTTGTGGTGTACATCCTCCGAAGGCTGGAGATCTAATCAGGAACACAGCAGGTAGGAACACATACAAAAACTAATGCTAAGGTTGATCTGTGACTTTTACATTGTGATCTATTTTTTCTACGTCACTTAGTTTCTTTTCTTGTAAACATAATTAGGTTGCATATAGTTCTCTATTTTGACTTATTGTTTTGACAGACAGTTTGTGAATTGCACCCCCCTCCCCATTGCGTCCCTGTCACATTGATCCGAGTCATTTAAAGACATAACCACTCATCCCTCATTGACTCACACACACTATAATGAACAGACGCGTGCACACACACTGACCAGAAACGGGCAGTAGGCCGCAAGCAGAGCGGCTAGCACCAGTCCATCTGTCAAGTCCAGGTCAAAATTCACTATCCAGCGTGCTGATGGGACACCACCTGCAAACCATCACAATGCAGAGATGACCCATTAATCAGTAATTATATAAAGGCATTCAAAAGTAAAGACTTTGATTTGATTTGAGTTCAAACCTAAGAGGAGGGTATTATTGGCTAAATTGTGCACGAGCAAGGGACAAATAAACCCTTTTAACCCTCTGAGACCCACATAGGACATTTCCGTTTGTGTATATGTTTGTGTTTTGCCTAATAAATTGTCATTTCTTTGCAGTATAATCAAGTTTTACACATCCCAGAAATCAGCACAACCTCAGCTAATGATATGTCACTCATTAGAGACGTATACACTATAATAGGGGATATTTGTCCATAAATAAAAAATGGAGGTTGAACATTTATTATCATTGTATCAGAACTGATTAGAAGATTCTAACTTATTCTGTTCATTAGTTATGCCCATTCTTTTGGGCAGTGTCCATGGGTGTTTTTTTGTGAGGAATTGTCATTTTTTGTCCTGCCAATTTTGAAGAGTACACATGATATCTATCATGTCCACTATCACACATGGCATGCTGAGCAGATTCGCCTGAATTTTCATCAACATCGTCCCCTTGAAAAATCAGCTCCAAAGCCTCAGCTGTAGTAAACTTCCTTGCCATACCTCAGTCTACTTTCAAAACACTAAAAGAACGTATTCCAACTTTTATTTTGTTTTCGCGCGTGGAATTATACCGGCTCTCGTTTCAGTACACATAACAACGGAACTGACAGGCAACCCTCTGAATCAGACTCCGATTGGCTGTGACTGCATCCACTCAGAGTGTCCGATCCAGAAACGTGACTCTTACGCTCTTTACGTCACAAACAAAGATGGTGGATGAGAATAGACCTATAAAACAGAAAACGATAAGCAATGCGCCAGAATCAAGGTGAGACTATCCGCATCTTTTAAAACTCTACGCACATTCGTTTCAGCAAAATAAGTAAACGCCTCTCAATGAAAAACGTAATGGAGTTGTTTATTGCCGTTTCTGTAGTTTAAGAGGAAAAACACGGCATGTCTCTGGCTCAAACTGCTGAGAAGTTATGATGCTTTGAACACAACGTGATATCTGGGATCGTATACGGCCCTGTGGGTCTCAGAGGGTTAACTGTACATGGTCTGGGTCTTACCTGTTCTCCACACGGTCTTCCTCATGCTCTTGTAATGCATGTTGAGCCAATAGAGCAGCTGGAGCTCGTAGGGTGAATAGATGTTACTGGCCAGAGGCGGTGAGCTCACAGGGAGGATTCCATCTATGTCCTCAGGGTTCAGATATGAGGTTGAACCCCTCTCTGACACACGACACAACACAAGAACCTGAGATGCAGAGGAATATTGAAAAGAGGGAAAAAAAACAAGAACATAGTTATAAAAAACATCTTCTGGCAAGATGGAAGTCCGAAAAAAGTTTTTCACCTTGTATATTTGCAGCAACACGTCAGTCCATGATCGTTTGCTCAGAGACTCGTAGTCCACACTGCTGTAGTCCAAACCATGATCTTCCTCATTTGACTGAGAGAAAAATACATATGCCTGGAGCTTTAAATATGTTGTTTTATTGTTGGCAAAGAATTATCCATAAACAATTGGTGTTATGTCTACTTATTTTCTGAAATGTGTGAATCTGTACCTGCAGGGAGCACCAGTGTTTGAACTCCTGCACGTCTAGCAGGTACTCTGGTCTGATGTGAGAAAGGCTGGCTCCCTGCACCCTGTACACAGAATTAGAATGAACATTGACAGTAGCCCCAAAACATGTCCTAAATGAAAATGCAAGCTGCAATCAGCAACATGAGAAATTCCACTAATCATAACTAAGGAACAATTGGGAGCCAAGTCAGCAGCACAGTAGCATGGTTTCTGTGTGTAAGGCCTACCTGAGAAAAGTGAGCATAGCTTCATGCTGTTGCAGCAGCTGATGGGTGCACTGGTCTATATCACTGGAAAACATCTGACACCGAGGAATACCAGGGATCTGTTTGCCAGTCAGGTGATGAAGCATGCCCACTACAGACCTGGACACAACAATACAATAGTTATGAGCCTTGTGTCTAGAGCCAGATCAATGCCAGCTGATGCAACATTACATTCAAACTCCAACTCAAGTATCATCTACAATATTCGTTGACCCATATTGACTCTTTGAATAAATAAAATGACTACGAACCAGAGTAGAATGCCCATTTCCATTTATGGGTCATGGATGACACATTTGAGACTTTTTAGGGCACCTAACTACACCTTTTTATCTCATATACACACCTGGAGTCTTTATTTTGACTGACTCGATAAGTCCGTCCAGTGGAAGGATTCATTTGGATTTTTGACACAACTCTGTGGAGAGAAGCAAAGCATTCATTGTAATTAAACAAAAGTGAAAGTAAAAACAGATTCCCATGCAAAACAATTGGGAAACTCTCGGGTATACCTTCTGAGCGTGTGTGGCACAGAGATAGGGTTTGGTCCACTCGGCCATCCAAACAGGCTAAACCACCTCTCCACAGCCAATAATACATTCTGGTAATATAGTCCTTCCTCAGAGTCGGCAGCAGGGAATTCTGGGGTGCCGAGATTGATTGGGGTGTTAGGAGAAACGTCTGTATTCCTGCTGGTCTGGCCGCTCACACTGTCACTGTTGGGAAAGGAATCTGTCCAGGAAAGTACACACACAGTATTCTGAATAAAAAAACACTCCAGCTTAGACATACACAAACTATTACAAATATAACACAATTATGTAGTACATTTAATATGCTCACCTGAGGTTGTTTTCTTGTTTGTTGAGCTGTTGTGATCAAAGGATGAGGAGGAGGAGGATGATGAAGACGGACCAGAGGCAGGACTTGGTGTGTGATAGCACCGAAGGATCACCTCAACAGCTGTGGTCCCATGCTTGGTACCAGTCTTGAGAACTATCTGTTGCTCAGAGCGGTGCAGAGCCATGTAGGGCCAGACTGTCAACACACAGTTGTCAGCGATAGCAAACAGCTTAACCTTGAACCTGGCAGCAGAAACAAAAAGAAAAATAATGAAGTGAAAGGTTTTGCAACAATGCGTTGAGTCCCTCAAAGTGAAGGGGAGTAGAAAGGACAAATAAGAAAGGGATTGTACTTTTTTTGAGGATGGGTTGTGAGAAGGAGAAAGGAAACTTGTAGGCAAAAGGAGAAAAGAGACAAGGAAAACAGAATCTAAGGGTTGGTGTTTAAGAATAATCAGTTACCTGTTGTGGAGGTGGTCAGTGAAGGTGATGGTTGTGCAGACGGACAGAGGGGTCGAGGAGCAGAAGGACACAGTGCAGGTCAGAGGGGTCACGTTGGCCTCCTGGTTCTGAATGCCTACAAGCTGTCTCTATGGTTGCAGACAAAGTGGGAAGTGAGGGTGGAATTTCAGACAGATCTTGATGGACAAAATTGGGTTTTGCTCAAGCTGTTACAAAATCTTATGGTTTTAGGACAGTGTGTGAAATGCTGTTAAGAGCATAATGAAGTAAGAACACAATGTGTGAAATAAAAGTGCAGATACATGCCGAATTCAACATGTTGACATGACATACGCGCGTTTTACGCCGTCTTTCCGGAGTACAGATTACATAATCCGTGTCGCTGAGACAATCGTGAATCTCGTACGGACCGAGGAATTTGGCAGAAAGAGCAGAGCCAGGGATGGGCAATAGTGCGAGGACTTTATCGCCTATTTCGAAGTGCCTATGGACAGAGGCACGGTCATAGTTACGCTTCATAACTGCTTGGGAAGCAGAAAGAGACTCTCTGGCGAGTGAGTTTGCACGGTGCAAACGCTCACGGAACTGGCTAACGTAATCCGTTTTTATCTGGAGGGGAATCAACCGACAGAAACTCATCGAGCAGGATTTTAAGTGGACCGCGGGGCCGAACACCATGATAGATGTATTACACATCTTATATGCTCAGTAGGGATAACGTAATTACAGCCTTAAGATAACAACTTTGAGAGTGTTACCATTTACATTTTGAGTAGTCATTTGCCTGCTCGTCCACGAAAGAATACCTTCAAAGAATGAGTTGCATTCACTTATTTTTGCTGCAGTTGTGTGTTATATCCCACCAGATAATTTCTTCTTGGTGGGTAGGAAACATCTCTGATACCATCAAATCCTCTTTAAGACACAAAACACTGCACTGAGGCAAGAAACAACATGACATTTTTCAATAACTCGAAACACAGCACTGTACCTGATCATGTTTTTGTGCAGGGATGTTGCTACCCTCTGGAAAGATGACCGAAACAGGCTTTATCTTTGTCCCATCCTCCAGTACAACCTCATCGACTTCAGCTGATACCATGGTTCCACTTCAAAGGTGGGCAGATAATGGATATGTAGAAGGAGAACATCACAAACAGATACAATTGCAATATTATAAGCTAACGATGTACTATGTTCCCATTTCAGGCACAGGGATCTGGGTCAGAAAAATGCTGGCTGAAGTGTAATAGTATAACCACATAGCTGTCCAGGCTGAAATCTGAACAATGTAATTCACAGAGGGATGAGCATTAGGTAGTTGGCTTACAATGTAAGCAGAATGCAACACGAGTGCAGTCCTGCCAGTTAATAAGTCCTGGCCTGATTGATAAAAATACCACTGATGTGAATAATAAAGTCAGTTTATGTGTGGCTGTTTTTCCTCTGGATTAATTTAGCTCCAATGGATGAACACAGCTATTAAATCGCCACAAGCAGGATGAATGTAATCACAATCAAAATCTATAAATGTTATTGCTCAGTTTGCCCAAAAACATAAAAGTCATCAAATGTGACAGTTACTGGAACACAATTGGGCCTGGGTGAACAGGGTATATGCAGGAATCCTGAAGTCAAATGTAAAACCTTTTAAGATCTTTTTTAAGTCCCTTTCCACACATTTTAAGACCTCATCGCCACTTTGAGTTTTAACCGGTTACATTGGCGACACACTTCACCTCACGTTTACTATATACAGTATTGATTGTCCTTCCTCCTTATCTTCCAACCATTTGGACGCAAACTTGCATTTCCCCATAACGATGTTGTTTAACAACCGGCGTAAACGGACCTTCACGCGCCATCAAGCAGTGAGCGTGCGATGTCCTGTTCAGATGACGTCCAATCCAACAGGATGCCATAAATAAACTACACAGAATCACACTACACACCTACGTCATGATTACATTCAGGCACACTGTAGAATACAACCTCTTTGGACCATTTATATACTTATTGAAAACAAGCTACAAAATGTAATACCTTGGAAAATGCCGTTTAATACTTTTTAATAGCCTTGATTTTCGCAAAATGTTTAAGTGTGTGTGTGTGTGTGTGTGTGTGTGTGTGTGTGTGTGTGTGTGTGTGTGTGTGTGTGTGTGTGTGTGGTGTGTGTGTGTGTGTGTGTGTGTGTGTGTGTGTGTGTGTGTGTGTGTGTGTGTGTGTGTGTGTGTGTGTGTGTGTGTGTGTGTACAACCTAGGATATCCTGAGGCCAGCAGGGTGAGTGTGGCAGTTGCATTGCTTTCCAGGGGTACTGGTGTGAGGAGGATTTGAGGGGGCTGGATTTTTATACAAGGAAGCTGGAGGGTAATAGTGATGGACAGCTCTCTGTGCGATTGATGTCTCATCTCTCCTCTCATCCCCTCCCCTCCCTCCTCTTCCAGGTAAAGAGGGAGGGACAGTTTGGTCACTCTGCCAGACCCTAGGAGAGAAATAAGAACACACAGGTCAAACCGTGCTGACTTAAGGTGAGTTTATAATAATGTATCAAGCACACATATGAGGATTCAGATATAGTCTTAATGGCTATGTTCTGGGTTTATGTTGAAAAAGTAAAGCATGTACACAATGACATGACTGTGTCTGAGAGACAGAGAGGGGATGCAGTGAGAGAGTAATCAACATAATGTGTGTGTGTGTGTACAATCATTTCTCACCTGTTGTGATGGCCTCAGGGTGGATGCTGACCGTCAAGCAGATGGACTGACCGGGCCCCAGACTGCCCGATGATGGACACACCGAACACAGCTCCCCATCTCTTCTTTGCTCTGTTGGTATTGCTTTTGTTCCGCAGTCAAACCACCAATTCACATGTTTCCCGACACACCTGCGCCAAAACACACTCTCTTCACACACTGCTTTCAGCTCCACAGTCTGCGGAGGGAGAGAGGAGTGGTGAGAATTTGGGGATTCAGTAAAAAGGTTCAGGAAAAGCTATAGATGGAACAAGGGAATAGAATGAGGTAAACAAATGTGATAAACTGCAGATAGATCCATGTTCATACCTTAGTGTTAGCATCAAACTGTGTAGCCAGGGGGTCCACTTGGAACTCTAGGCTGGAGGGTGACATTTCCAGTGGTGCGCACAGTACTAGAATAGAAAAACATTACGCTACATGAAACTAGTGTCATGTGAGACAGTTGTCTTGTTCACATACTATTTGACAGTATACTCGCTTCTTATGACCCCACCTGTGGCCTGTATGCGCAGTGACCGTTGTGTCGCCATGGTGACAGACTGGGGAAGGGGTTTGGCGACATGCTTCCTGCTGCCATCTGACAGTGAGGTGGATGAGGAGGATGGAGTGGGGAGAGGAGATAGCGAAGCAGTGGGCCATCTCACCCCGTTGACCATCAACGGCAGGTCAAAGTCATAGCCTGCTGCCTGCAGGAATACATTTTCCTTCACTGTCGACCTCTTCTTCAATATTTAACTTGTACAAAAAAGATATTTAAAGCTATGAGATGAGCGATAGCAAGATCAGTAATTGATCGCTCGCTTAGCCCTGCCCCCATTAGTTATGGTTGTTATGCCTGTCATATTTTCTTGAGCACAAGTTCCACTCCATTTCAATTATGCCAACTTGAATCAAGGGCTCTGTGCAGAACATTAAACCAGCAGCATCAACAACAGCAGACCTAAACAACTCGGTAATAGAGTGCCACAGTGACGCGTCCTAAAACCCGGAAGTAAGTTAGCATGTTACCACTTCCGGTTCCTTCGCCAAAAAGCAATGCAGTTTCTCTGTAGGATATTGGAAAACATTTTTTTTTTTTTTTTTTTAAACATCATAGTTTTTACTGTTTTACCACAACGTGCTTTGGCAATGCTGTGTTTGGTTATCATGCCAATAAAGCTTCCTTCAATTTGAAAGCAGTAATGCTAACTGTGTCCCGTGTTCTTAACAGTAAGCTAGATGCATCCTGCTGCTGTATTGAGCTTCTATGTAAAAGCATCTGTCATGCAAATGCAGTTAATTTGAATCTGAACTGGAACTTGAGTGCTGACTGGTATGTAAATGTATAGCAATGCCAGGGGCATATTTAGTGATTAGTGGGCCCCAGGCAAAGCTAAGAATGGGGCCCCCTCATGCATTATTCTCACGCTTTTTCCTAACAGGGAATGTTGTTATTACTGAGGATACTGATGTTGTAGATCTAAGCCTTTACATCCATTACTACGCACAGACACACAGACTCATTGCACCCACACACACACACTTTCTTTGTCTATGCCTAGAGACATTGAGTAACTTCAGTGGGCTTCCTAATTTTAGCTTGATCATGTTTTGAAGTCGTTGCGTTTTGGCACAACACTAAGTCTAACAGTGCAACAGTCTAAACTAGCTAACCTTTGTTTTTTTTGTTTTTTTACAGAACATACAACAAAACAAGTAACAAAACGTAACGGAGGGGGGGGGGAATGCAAGGATGACTTCCTAAGACAGCTGATTGTGACATACACAGGACATTTCATACACAATACATTATACATTACACAGGAGATGCCATATTGATAGAAGATGCCATATTGACAGGGTCAGATAGGAGGGCTGCGGACAGTGAACCGCAATCCTCCTGTCTCCCCTCAAAATCCCCCAGCAGAGAAGCTGCACGCTCCATGTTCAGTAGGTCCAGATACTCCCTCAGCCATGAGTCCCTAGTAAAGCAGGCTGGTTTGCGTTCCTTCCAGTTTAGTAGGATGAGTCTTTTTGTTGCTAAACAGCCCAATGTCCAGAGCCGATCGGCAGTCCTTGCAACATTGCCATCTGGCTTGAGACCCAGTAGACATGCAATGGGACATGTAGGGAAATTAACTTTTAAAGATTCAGACATTAAGGATATTACTTCTGACCAAAGTTTTTTTACCGCTGGGCATTCCCAGAGTAGGTGCAACAATGTACCTCGCTTGCCACATTCATGCCAGCATAAGTCTCTGTGTTTATTGTCCATCTTAGGGCTCAGTGCTGGGGCCGATCCTGTTTTTAATCTATCTATTACCTCTGGGTCATATCATCAGACAACATAACATCAACTTCCACTGCTATGCCGACGACACTCAGGTCTACATCAAAACACAACCCAAAACCACCACTATCCAAACACTAAACACCTGCCTGGAAGACATCCGCTCCTGGATGACCACCAACTACCTTCAGCTCAACAGCAGCAAGACGGAGGCAATCCTGATAGGCACCACTGACCAGCTTGCCAAGGCCGCCAACATCAGCCCCTCCCTTGATGGTCAGCTCATTCCTCTCTCCTCCGTTGTCACCTACCTCGGTGTAAGGTTTGACCCCACTCTGTCTTTCCAAGCCCACATCAAACACATCACCAAGACCTCCTTCTTTCACCTGAAAAACATTTCCCGACTGAAGCCCTCACTCTCAACTGATGACATCAAAAAACTGGTTCATGCACTCGTCTTCTCAAGACTAGACTATTGCAATGCACTCCTCTCCGGTCTCCCAGCCAAATCCATCAACCGCTTGCAACTTGTCCAGAACAGCACAGCCAGAGTTCTCACCGGTACAAAAAGGTCCGCACACATAACCCCCATACTTGCAAAACTACACTGGCTCCCAGTCCACTACAGGATCCAGTTTAAGGTTCTGCTCCTCACGTACAAAGCCCTGAATGGACAAAGCCCAAAATACCTCTGTGACCTCATCCATACCCAGACATCTACCCGCTCTCTCCGCTCCAGCCACGCTCCTCTTCTTCACATCCCCCGCACACGTCTCCGAACAATGGGAGACCGAGCCTTCTGCTCATTCGCCCCGCGCCTCTGGAACTCCCTCCCAGATCAGCTGAGATCTGCCCCTTCCACCGAGGTCTTCAAAACCGGCCTTAAGACCCTCTTCTTTCGGCAGGCCTTCCAATAAACTTTGAGCATGGTACACCTGGAGTAATGCCATTTTTATCGCTATCTCCGACTTTTACTTTTGTACTCTATTTTATTTTTTATTTTTTGATTTCTTATTATTATTACAATTATTTGTTTAATCTCTCAAAGTGTATCAGTATCCCTTGTTGTGAAGCACTTCCAGATTTGTCTTGGCAGATGAGAAGCGCTATATAAATTAAATGTATTTATTTATCTTGGATTTTGTAACAGGGGTGATGTATGCTCTATTGAGAATTTTGAACTGTATGATCCTGAATCTTACACATTTAGAAGAGAACATAGCTGACCTCCAAATGGAGTTCCATTGCAAAGCAGACAGAGAGATATTCAAGGCATGCTCCCAGGACAGTTGGACAGGAGAATAGGTATTCGGGGCAGCCCTAGATAATAATGTATACATGTTAGAGACCACACTTTCTTGAGGCGCTGGTCCTCTTCCATACATGAAGCAGGCATGGTTCCCTCCTTACATTTTGTTCTAATAATAGATGCTAGTTGTGCATATGATAGAAAAGATGAGTCTGAGAGACCATACTGATTTTTTAGTTGTTGAAATGGAAGGGTTTGGTCTCTATATATCTGTCCAATTGTAGTAATACCAGCCCTCTGCCAGATATTATTACTTAAGGTGCCTCCTCCTGCAGAAAGACAGGGGTTACTCCAAATAGGGCAAGATGGTAAAGAGAGCCCCTCTATGTTGAGTCTCCTGTGCAGTTGCTTTACAAGAGCATGAAAAGCGGATGATGGTATTATCCATTGAGGGTGGTGGTTTTGGGCAGTACCACATTAATGCCAGAGATATGTTTTGGTTTACAGACATGATGGATTGCTCCAGCCATTGCCAACTGCCTACCGGAGAGGCACTTTTGTATGCCCACGATAATGGATACTTTGCATTGAAGGACAGATAATACTGCAATACATCCGGGACTCCAAAACCTCCCATTGATCTTGGAATGATCAACTTATTATTTGCAAATCTGGGTTTTTTATTATTCCAAAGGAACTGAGTGAATAGGGATTTGATATCTTTAAACCATTTTAGTGGGAATTCAAGAGGGATAGAGGAGATAATATGAGAAAGCCTTGGGAGAACATTCATTTTCAAGGTTTCTGCTTTGCCCCATAGAGAAAGTGTTATGGCCATCCATCTGTTGATGTCCTCTTTAATGGACTGGAAAATAGCAGGGCCGTTAAGGCTAAAGATTTTGGAGATAGGAGAGACGATGTTAATTCCCAAATACCTCATTCCATTTGTTTTCCAAATAACGGGGGTGTTCATTAGGTTGTGTTTATATGTGTATGAGTTAAGTGGGATTGCTTCACTCTTGTTCCAATTTATCTTATATCCAGAGAAGCTGCCAAATAAATGTATCATATCAAGAACTGCGGGAATAGAGAGTGCTGGCTTGCTCAAAGTAAGAAGTATATCGTCAGCGTACATATTTAATTTGAAGTCGTGTCCATGAATGTTCACACCATGTATGTCACCATTAGAGCGAATTGCACAGGCTAATGGTTCTAGAGCCATAATAAAAAGTAGGGGACTAACTGGACACCCTTGCCTCACGCCACGGTGTAAGGGGAAAGGTTTTGAGATTAATCCATTAGTTCTAACAGAAGAGAAGGGAGCGCTATACAAAGCCTTTACCCAGCTAATCAACTTGGGCCCAAAGCCAAATTTTTTGAGCGTGTAAAATAGATATGCCCATTCTATTTGGTCAAAAGCTTTCTCAGCATCTAGTGATGCTGCAATCATTGGCAAATTGCTGGAGCTTGCTTCTAGGATAATCTGAAAAACCCTCCTCATGTTATTTGAGGACTGGCGGCCTGGAATGAAACCTACTTGGTCTAGATGCACTATAGATGGAACCACCTTCTCCAAACGGAGTGCCAGTATCTTGGCTAGAATCTTGTAGTCACAGTTTAAAAGGCTTAAAGGGCGGTGGTTACCCATCAGAGAAGGATCTTTGCCCGGTTTTTATTCTCTGCCGAGGAGAAACTAATTAACCAGCCCCTGCATGTTGCTTTAAAAGCCTCCCAGACAGTGGTGACGCTTGGTACAGAATTTAGATTGATCTCAAAGAAATCTAAAATGTGGTCTTTAATGAGCAGTGTGCATTTTTCATTTTTGAGTAGAGATGTATTAAGTCGCCACTGTCTGGATTTGCAAGGGTTGGTTGGAGGGAAAAATGTGACAGATACCGCAGCATGATCACTTAATAATATACTATGCATTTTGATCTCAATAACATTCTGGATCAAATTTGAAGACATCATTATGTAATCTATCCTTGAGTAGGAATTATGCGCACCAGAATAGAAAGAGTACTCTCGAGCATCTGGGTGCACTAGGCGCCACACATCTGTAATACCGAGCTCGGATTGGAAGTCCCTCAAGGCGGCGGAAATGTTTTTATCTGAAGGGAGAGGGTGGCTGGATCGATCCACTATAGGGTCACAGACAGAATTGAAATCGCCACCTATAATAAGAGGACCCTCTATGGACTGCAATATCTTTGGGCACAGCGAGGTAAAGAATTTAGATTGTAAACTATTTGGAGCATACACATTCACTAATGTCCCCATTTCATTCTGTAGCAAACCTGAGACAATTACATATCTTCCCTCTTGATCAACATGTACATTGGATGATTTGAAAGGCATATTCTTGGAAATTAAAATACTGACTCCTCTACTAGCTTTTCCTCCAGGGGAAGAGAATATCTGCCCTACCCAATTCTGTCTTAGTTTTTTAGATTCCATCGCATTCAAATGAGTCTCCTGTAGCATAGCAATATCACAATTTAGAGACTTTAAGTACAACAAAATCTTATGTCTTTTGATTGGATTCTGAATTCCATTTACATTCAGACTAAGCAAAATAATTTTGTTCAATTGTGTATCCATTTAAGTAAGGTAACAATCATATCGGACGCCCGGCTAGTATTTTGGTCAAATTGGAAGGGTGTCATCGATGCATCAAGGGAGGGGAGGGGAAATATATAAACAACAACACAAGACCGTAGACAATACAACACAAGATTACATGAAAACATAGAGATGCTACCACCCTTCCCCCTAACAATACACACATACACACAAAAACAAAAAATATATTGCCAAAAGACAATACGACGGAAAATACATTGAGATGGAGGAAAGTCCATCTCTATCCGTGAAGAAAAAGAAGAGCCGCGGAGCTCAGGTGCGGAGAGGTAATCCAGTCCTTCAATAGCCTATAGCCTATTCATTTGTCTGCCATTAACCACAACTTTGCTAACTAGTTGGGAGTTACATTACAGTATAGCCTGCATCAAAATCCTAATGAGGGTGTGTGCGACTGTGAGTCAGTGTATGTGCGGGCATGCGTGTGCGTCAGTATAAATGAGTGTGTGTGTGTGTGTGCGTAGGCCAACTCACAGTCTTGTGGTAATGTCACATCCCAAATAAATCAGGTCTCTTTTCTTTTAGAACTTTCTCAGCTTCCTTGGGTTCTTTGAATATGAAAGTCTCCTCGTTGATGGCTACGATGAGTCTGGCAGGGTACAGGATGCCGTGCCGTAAGTTTTCTTTGCGCAGTATGCTACGGAGCTCTCTGTATGAATCCCGCTGGCGCTGTATCTCCATTGGGAAATCCTGAAACATGCGAAGATCATGTCCGTCCCATGTCAGCTTTCCTTTAGCAGACGCCAGCGTCTTAAACACCTCGTTCTTATCGCTCCATCTGAGAAAACGTATGATGATATGCCGCGGAGGGTGCCCAGGGTCCGGGATGGGACGCAGAGCGCGGTGGGCACGCTCTATCTCAGGTGCGGGGATTGTGTCACTCAGCTTCAGGAAGTGTCGGAGAATTGTATCCAGTAGTGGGGAGATGCCACCGGCTTCTTTACCCTCGGGGAGGCCGGCTAGGATGAGATTATTTCTCCGACTTCTAGCTTCCAGATCCAGCGTTTTACCCTGGAGGGCTTTGACATCTTTGGACAGCTCACCCATTGTCTTCCCTTGGGAATTGGCTTGATCCTCTATCTCGCTAATGCGCTTCTCTGCGTTGTTTATTCTTTGAGAAGTGGCCTTAGAGTCTTTCTTCAACTGAACAATAGCCTTGTCCAGATTGTCAAACCTTACGTTACAGGTTTCTTTAACGCTTTGTATTTCAGAAAGCAATGGGCCAGCCCACTTGGGGACGTGTTCCTCTTCACCAAACATTTCCGCCATGAGGCCGCTGTCTTTCTTTGCTCTAGCTCTGGTCAAACTACTGCCGGGCATTTAGACGCAGATGTTTTACACACTAATAGAACTGACTGCGCATTACACTTTGAGACTTTCAGTCTCGCCGATGTCATCACGTGATCTAGCTCGCCGATCTCCTTAAACTAGCTAACCTTTGGAAATGGTTGAGACACATTGAAGAGACGGATCACGTTTTGTTCTACGACATTAAATCCATCAGCAGTGACCCCACTGGTGATGAGTTTACGTGTCTGAAAAACGATGGTTGTTACCAAGTGGCTGAATAGCACTACAGAAGTTGTCGAGGCCGTTTTACGTCATTACGCCGAACACGTAAACACTCCTCTAAGTTTGTTTGCCGTGTTCTGCTTGAAAGCAAGTCCCTGCCTCCTGCAGACTGTTCAAACAAATGCTTCAACTTGAACAATTTAGAATCTGTATTTTTGAATATGGATCTTAAGGTGGCGTGACGTTGAAGCAGCGACCCTGCTGTAGTTCGTTTCTAGCATAACGTTAGCATTTTGCATTAGATTTATGATTATAAAATTATAAAAGTAGGGTAGACGTGTGGAGATTATCCGGCTGAACAAAACGTGATCCGTCTCTTAAATGTGTCTCAACCACTGACCTTGTTTCCAGCTATTTTCCTAAATCCTATGGAGAAATTGCATTGCTTTTTGTGGAAGGAACCGGAAGGAGTTTACTTCCGGGTTTTAGGACGCGTCACTGTGGCACTCTATAGTCATTAAGCAATGATGGCACAGTCTCTGTTCAGAAGAAGGGTTTAGAGAACAATCAATTCATGGAAGTTAAATGATGCATTTGAGCTTGGTGCTTTATGTACTGGAGATTGGTCCAAAGGTTACCTGGGTTGGGGAGAAGACAAGGGAACAGTCCACTGTCTGGTTGCCATGGAGCTCCACAACACTCACACCTGGCTCTTTCTCTGCACCTAAAAATGCACAAAAACGATCACAAAACAAAGGCCAAAACTCAAATGTACACAAAAACATTTGTCTTCCTAAATGTGGCATTGTTTATGTAACTACGTACTGGCTGAGGGCTGGGGGAACCTCACAGAGAAGTCAGTGTAGTCCGCCAGGTCAAAGGTAACCTGGGCTGAGGCTGATGATTGGTTTGTGAGAGTGAACGGTATTGATCGCTGAGAACCAGCATAGACCCCGTAAAAGTGGAAATGCGACTGTAAACGGATACAAAATTAAAGAAAAAAGGTCAACAGCAACTTCAATTGAAAGGGAAAGGATCATTTCAGCTTTCTATGACAGGAGCTGTCCAAAAGCAGATTATCCTTCAGTTCCTATCCTTACAGGTGCAACCCCTACACACACACACACACACACACACACACACACACACACACACACACACACACACACACACACACACACACACACACACACACACACACACACACACACACACACACACACACACACACACACACACACACACACGCACACACACACACGCACGCACGCACGCACACACACACACACACACACAAATAGAAGTGTACAATATATATCCTGAAGAATACATTACCTTTCAGTTATTTGAAAGTATCCTTTCTTCTATTTTCCTCTCATGTTCTATACATCTATATTATTCTCTGTTTATTATATTATTATCTCATCTTGTATTTATGTAGATCATTTGATAAAGATCTCGTGCAGTTTTGTGTAAATACAAACATGGTTTAAGGAACATTGGGAAACAAACAGAGATGAAAAAGGTCTTGAGAATACTCCTTTATAAGTCGGACAAACATCAAAGGACTACACAGACACACTAACCTGCAACAACATGGCCTCAAAAAGGAGTATATAAATAAATAATTATATGGCAGCCCCAAAAACAACAACAGTTTAAGCGGTGACCTACATGAAGATGGTATTTACAGCTAAATGCACAAAGACACACAGCGTGGTGCAAGAGGCAAAAAACCTCTCGATTATAACAATCTCTGGTAAGACACATATTTACTCAAGGGCACTGGCACATTGATCAGTCCGTTTTTAATTATTTGGACCCCAAAACATATATAAATCAGGAACTGTGATTCAGTTCCAAGTCGTAAGGCAACTATATATATTTGTCTCATGTCTGAAATATATCGGGATAGCTGATTTTACCATTAATTGTATTAGCAGAGAAAGCACACACACACACACACACACACACAGAAACTTACCACACTAATGTCTACAATTGGAGTCTCTACGTATCCACCCACTCTGAGCTCAATGGACTTCATGTTCCTCAGAGCTATCTGTAACACACACACACACACACACACACACACACACACACACACACACACACACACACACACACACACACACACACACACACACACACACACACACACACACACACACTTAGTTGTGTACATCAATTCTACTCTACATACACAGGAAATGTCATCAGGACATGAAAATAAAGAGCCTTCCCATTCTTTCAATCTCTCACCTTCACCCTGGTGTCAAACCTGATGACAGAGTCGGAGTTGAGATGGATCTTGAGCGCAGCCTGCCCCCCACATGGGACCACACCCTCAGATGGACTCAGCTCCAAGCCTGGCAGAGGGCACACATCTAGCACCTGCCACAGACAATCAGACAGAGAGGCTATTTTTCTTGTTCGGGTAGTATCTGTGCAAAAACAAATATCTGTTTGTGTTTTGGAGGGCACCTGGAAGTAGGCATGGTTTTTTCCACTGTTGCGTAAGACTGCACTTCTTATAGAAGGCATGTTAAGAGGCACATTTGCAAAAAAGACCTGTTCCTCTGCCAGCTGGACACTTGTGGACCCAACCTTATAGGACAGATTGGAGAAAGGAAAATTATCTCTGGTATATCCATTTTTCTGTAACATTCAATCCATAGTGTTGATCTCCCATTCACCCTTAATCTACAGTATGCATCTCTAATTACTCAAGTCACTTACCCACATTTAAAAAATGTGAAAGCCCTCAGAGCACATTTATATGGATACATGTATATATAGAAACCCTATCCCAAACATTCAAGGACAGATTTATTTAATACTAAGTTATCTTTCCTATTATAGAAGCCAGACCTTAGCAACACAGTGCAGGCGTTGTGTGTTGCCCTCATGGACGCAGAGGTCAAAGTCTCCTTTTGATGGGGAGGAGAAGGAGGGATACCACACTACTTCGCAGTCCAATTCCCTGTATGGCTCGATTGTACCTGTGGAGGAGGGGGGGGGGGGGAGATTTGCTATCTTAGCAGTAGTTAAAATAGGCAAATCTACTTAATAAGAATGTTTATTAAAAAGTAATGTTCTTATAGACATATACTACAGGTAGGGAGAAATGCAATGTGACATTCTGACACATTTTGCACCTGTAGCTGGTCGAATGGAGAACAGGATGCCACTTTCTGTAACTACTGGTCTCCATGTGAATTCTGCGGCCTGGTTACGCTGGTTTCTAACGGTAACTGAGCTCCTGTATCCTGATCCAGCAAGCAGAGTGTGGGAAGGGCGGAGCACCAGCAGGGTAGTGGACAGCTCCAGAGCCAAGGGGACGACCTGGGCCTGGACCAGAATCTGACCCGGTTGTTGCTGGTTCACAGAGTAGGATACAGGTCTGGAGGAGAGAAGTATGTTTATAATGTACTTGAACCGCAACCATTGATTTCTGCTTCCTGCACCAACCTGTAGAAGTGTCCGAGCTTGGTGCTTTGGAAGGTCAGTGGTAGGGTGGTGAGGGAGTTGGGGGGCAGGACATAGGAGAGGGGGGAAGAGCCCTGCAGCTCAGGGCAGTCCACCTCCAGCTGCACCCAGACAAACGCGGGCAGATGATTGACCAGATCCAGCTTCTGAACACACACTGACTGCACACACACCTCTCCAAAGTCCACTAACAATGGACCTAATGAGAAAATAGTGTTTTAGCCTTTTTCACAAAACAATTCCTCTTCACTTAAGTTTTGCTTAATAACTTAAAACAGGGTATATGCAGGAATCCTGAAGTCAAATGTAATCGTTTTAAGATCTTTTTTAAGACCCTTTCCATACATTTTAAGACCTCATCGCCACTTTGAGTTTTAACCGGTTACATTGGCGACACACTTTACCTGACATTTACTATATACAGTATTGATTGTCCTTTCTCCTTATCTTCCAACCATTTGGACGCAGACTTGCATTTCCCCATAACGGTGTTGTTTAACAACCGGCGTAAACGGACCTCCGCGCTATCAAGCAGTGAGCGTGCGATGTCCTGTTCAGATGACGTCAAATCCAACGGGATGCCATCAATAAACTACACAGAATCACACTACACACCTACGCAATGATTACATTCAGGCACACTGTAGAATACAACCTCTTTGGACCATTTATATACTTATTGAAAACAAGCTACAAAATGTAATACCTTGGAAAATGCCGTTTAATACTTTTTAATAGCCTTCATTTTCGCTAAATTGATTTATCAACTTTTAATACTTTTTAAGGCCCCGCGGACACCCTGCTCTTTTAAAACTCTTCATACATATTGTACACAAGGTAAATAGTTACTGTAGCACTTTTGAATTGATCCTTGCCTATGCAAACTTGGAAAAGCTCCTGAGCTGTCAGAGTCCTGTTGCAGTCTGCCACCTCCTGGCTGGTAGAGGGAACTGCACTCACTGCCTAGAGAGAAAGCAGGTGATTAAAAATCAGCTAAAAAGAATAAACCTTTCCATGAATTTGCATTAAGTTCAACTCCGTAATAGTTAACTTTAGACCACCATTGATCTAACCTGACTGTCAACCTGCCGCGTGATAGATGTCATGTCTTGGTTGGAGCTGTGTTTAGCTGCTGAGGAAGCTTGGCGATAGTTTGGCTTGGTCTCTGAGATATTACTGCTCTCCAGGTCGCTGATGCGGACTAAAGGTGGATCAAGCCCTTGAGAGGGAACAATGCAAATGTCCACATCTTCCACCCCTTTTTCCAGCTGTCTAATAACCAAAGAAAAAGGTCTTACTTTACTTTTCATTCACAAAATGTATGACAAAAAAAAGGACAACTTATGAGACAACCTACCTCTCTGTTTGTTTCTGTAGGCGTGTATGTCTGAGCTGTACGATGAAGTCGCTGTAAATCTGTCGCTGCCGCTGCCTCTGCTTCTCCTCTTCATCAGTAAAGGCGTAGTTGGTGTCCACATAGCTATAGCGGTGTACACCAGTGAAGATGGTCCTAACCACGATTAAACACAAAGTCTTTATAATTGGAATCTTTAACAACAAAATGACAATTTGCTGCTATAGCAATTAGCACATCAAATCTAGTTTTAGGAACCAAATTTAATTATTGTTCTGATTATCGAAATAATATTTAGTTTGTAAGATTAAAAAAAAAAAATCTCCAATATGTAACATTTTTGGAAGTTTGATTTGCTGTATTTGAACGTTTCAAACACATACGACAATTTGGCTGTGAAGTAGAGTTTCTTGAACCTCTACCTGTACTGTTGGTGTGCAGAGGCAGGCCTGATACTCATGGCTCGGTCATTAGGAAAGGCCAGGAACTCCTCAGCCCCTGTATTTTGATTCCTCTGCCTGCGATGTTCATGGAGTAGTGTTTTGCCGGCGCTGAGGACAGCATGAGGCACCATCTCACGACAGCGAGCCAGGTCACTTGACCGAACGTGAGGGAGTGATCCAGTTGGATTAGTCACTGCTGGAGTGATGCCTGTGAAGCAATTAAAGCAGGACAAGAACATTTTTCAAGATGTTTATCATAAACATACTTTTCAAGTGTGTCAACAAATAACATGGGAAGAACAAGACCAACAACAATTTCAATGGGATTTATCCTTCAATACTCACCAGGATTCAGTTGAGGGACAGGCTGTGTGGTCTCATTGCAGCAGACAGCGGACAGGTTTAGAGTAATTGTGTGGAAGCTGTGAAGCTCAAGTTCATGAACAGAATCAGCAGTGATGCCTTCTCTCTGAACAGCAGGACCCAAGACATCTAGCTTCTGACACAGCTGAAAGCTCCCTTGCTGCCGTGCAGTGAAAGATAAGACCACATCCTAAGGAATGCAACAGAAAGAGAAAAGGTTCCCAAATGTGCTGCTCCACTTTGATTCTATAAATGAGTAATGGAATCGTAATCCTTACCTGGCATTGTCCAGGAGCAATAGTCCCAGAGGAGGGCTTGGTGGAGAAATGTGCTAACTTTGGGAAGCGGAAATTGACAGGAAGTTGAGGACAGAGGTTTTGAAGCACACACAGCAGGTCCACACGTTGGCCCAGCACACAAGTGAGGAAATCATATCTATGAGAGGGACTGGGCACCAGACACACAGGCAGTCCGGAGCCTGTCACTGCCAGCTCCACACTGCTTTTACCTAAAGAGACCAAGAAGATCAGTGTGATCCATCTTGAATCATCAGTTAATGTATTAATGGATAATGCTGATTTAGTTATATGAACTGTGTGTGCCCATGTGTATTGTGAGTACCATCATGGTGAACGAAGCCATATCTGCTTCCCAATGACTCAAACAGCAGGAAGAGACAGTAGTCTTGTCTGCTGGCCGAGTAATCAAGCTTCTTCTCTTCCCGTCTGCTGGTTGTGAAACAGTGTGCAGTTCAAAGTATAAGAGAGGCCACGCCCCTTTTTGTTGCGTGCTCCTCGTTAGTATAGTGGTCAGTATCCCCGCCTGTCACGCGGGAGACCGGGGTTCAATTCCCCGACGGGGAGGTACAATTTTTCATTTTCTACGCCATAATAGTAACTTTTCTAATGTTTTCAGACATATTCACAGACAATTTACCTCTTGCATTGAGGGCTGAAGCACACTGCCACAGTGGTTTTTCCATACGGTCCCAGTCGGCCCTGTTTGGGAACACACACCAAGACCTGAGAGACGTCACGGGTGGCTGAACTGCTCTTCTGCATTCTCTCCAGCAGGGCGGCGTCTGTGCTCTTCTGGAGGTCTGTTCCCTACACAGCCATCACAGTAGACATAATCTTGATTAAACACAATATTTGCAGATTGGCACCAACTTTCCCTGATGGAATTACTCACCACCTCAATCCCAGCAGCCGTATCCTGCAGCAGGCAAACCCAGTCACATGCCTCGGGCGCATTATTTCTCAGAACCACATTCTCCACATGGGACGTTCCAAAGTATACAGGTCCAAACCACAGACAAGAGAGTGGATTGCCCTACAAAACACAAGAGAGTAAAGTGTCTTAACAGGAAAACCAGTAAGAGGGGGAAAGCAACAACGATGAATGGAGTATCAATGATAGGAACAATACAAATTCCACTTTGACTGAATTACCTTTCGGTCAAAAACCTCAAGATGCTGTTCCACCACCTCAGCCTTTATGTTGAGAACTACAGCAGAGCAATTCTCCAGTTTCACCCTGGAAAAAAAGGAGGGTTAGAGGCAGGTAGAGTACAAGTGCACAGTGTATAGTCAAAGAACAGTATTTGGCCACTTTCTGAGAAGTGATTTTATAAAAAATCTAACCACCTTGAAATTGTGACTAAGCATTTAGTGTCCAATCCCTTGATATTCTATGTGTGTTCACAGGTATGTTGGTGTAAATGATTTCTTACATAGCCTTTTCATCAATGTGCCTTGGTCTGTCTGTGCGCAGCTCCACTTTAAGCCACTGGGTGGCACCAGCTGCTATGACTCCACTGCAGGGTGAGAGTTTGACTGAGGCGTCTCCACTGTACTGAACCTGGAACACACCTTCAATGCACACAAGAAAATAAATACAAATAATCTCATGGAGTATTTTAAGAAAAGAGTACATACTACTTGAGAGAGTTCATGGGTTATAAGAGGTTAACAGTTTATACCTGGCTCGGTATTTTCTATAAACAGGTCACTGCATTTATGAAAATGTAGAGTATCTGCAATCTTTTAAGTATAAATGTTTTGAATGTGAAGACTTTGTAATACTTCTTAGGATAGAATAATAGCATAACTATAGCAAAATAAATGTGATGGGTCATGGAGTCTATGTTTTGAAAAAATATAAGGTTACATACTTAGATTAGATGAAGAATGAATGAAATGCTTAATTTACCAGGTGCTGATCCCTGATTGGTTATTTGGTGCTGTTTGCTGATCAACCGACTGCTTGCAGCAATACACCCAAAGTCTAGCACTGAGTCCATTTGGAAGGAAAAAACCCTGGGAAACCTGGAGGAGCAAGGCGTTAAAATGTCAAATGAATGCATGAACATGTGACACGCAAAGTGTTTGGTCCTTCAGCTCGCTTACCACATCAGTGGAATTGTGATTGTTTCTACATCATCTATATGAATCAGAAGGCAGTCTCTGACCTCCTCCTCTTCCTCTGGAGTAAACTCCAGCAGGCCGCTCACAGACAGACCTGGAGCCACCACCTTGGCCAAGGTAGATGCTGTGAACTTAAACAACTGCACAACAACAAAAATATGGAAAAGATGAGGGAGAAAAGGGCAATAATCACAAAATAACCACATTGGTGACACATTTTGATTTACCATTTAGAGAACATTCTAAAACAGAGATGCACACATCTAACTATTCTAATTAAATGCGTATACAGTTTACTCAGATAAAGTAAATAATTAATAGGACACTTTTAGAGTAAATAGAACATAAAAAATAGAACATAAAAAAGCACAATGTCAGTAAAATACATTGGAAATTCTCCTGGATACCATAATGACAATTATATCATACATTATTATTATTGTTATGATAGACGGACAGAGAGATACATTTGGTAAAATTAGCATCATGTATTGCACGAGATTTTAGCTAGTGTAACAGCAATTAAGCTAATGTTAGAAAAATGATGTGGCCATTGTTACGTCATTGTTATAATAGACATTTATAACTATATTACTATTATTAGATAGATAGATAGAGCTAAGTAATGGTAATTAGCTAACGTTAGCATAATTTCTGGCACGTGGTGTTTGCTAGTGGTAAAAAGCAATTAGCATGTAATTAATGGGTGGACAATTTTAGAGTAGGTAGAACATACTAAGACTCTCTTATAACAATGCAAACTGTTTTAAAAAGGAGAAAGGGAAATAACGTATATGATGGTCGAATAGACCTTAGGAAATGAGCTAATATTAGCATAATTTATTGAAGAAGTTTTAGCTAGCTCAACCCGAATTTAGCTAGTATAACGCAACTAAGCTATCGTTGCGTCATTTTAATTGAATCGAGTTATTTCGTATAGTTTAGCTTGTACAATTGATACAAACAAAACATATGTGTTTACTTTACAGACTGTATGCGTTTGCTTTACCTTTAACCCAGGCTTTTCAAACCTTATTTTCGTCGAAGCTTTTCCAACATTTGTTGCCGTGACGGTAGTCTTGTAAATCTGTCCGACTTTCACGTCGTTGAACTCGACACAGCGTGGGTCAACTCGAACACAACTTCCAGCCATGATCTCACTTCACATGACAGTAATACTGACCAACAGACGTCACAAATGTATTCTCATTAACGTAACTTACATTTAAAATAATTATCGTGCCGTTTTCGTCGACTTGCTGGCTCGCATACCGATAGTCAACTTTACTGTTGCTAGGTGAAGTGAGACTCAGGTGGTTTCTAGGCGACCAGTGCGACTCTAGTGGCAGCGCGTGTGCAGGTGGAAGGTGACCGTGCAGCTGTTGAAAGTGGAGAAACAACCTTACAGAGGTGGAAGAATTACTCAGATCTCTAAAATGGAAATACTCAGGTGATAGATAGATATACTCAAGGAAAGTAGAAGTACAGAGTTGTATTTAAGTACACTACTTGAGTAAATGTACATACTTTCCACCTTTTCTTACAAATCCAAAGTACTTTAGGTTTTCAGGATTGTCAATACAGATTATCATAAAAAATGCTCGGCTGTTTAAAAAAAAATATATATATAAAATGTCTCATTAATCTCAGCCCCTTTGTCAGCGTTTATCTATAATGGTATAACAATGATTTGAATGATGAAATCAATTTGGAACCAAAACTAAGAAAATCTTTATATTGAAGCTACATTTCTCATTATATTAGGTGTTATTAACTATAGTTATCATAGATTTTCTTTCATTTTCTCAATCAACTGTACACAGATATGGAGGAATCGAATCAACTTCTAATCGTCAAACATGATGACATTTCGACACTGCATTTAAGAGCAACTACACACCGCCCTGTGAGAAGTGTGGGGGACAGTGCTTGGCTCAAAGGCATCTCGGCAGGCACCATGAGACTATTCGAAAGTCTGTACTTAGTCTGATCGGGGACTTGAACCAGAGACCCTCCGGCTTCCATTAAAATCTACACGTTTTACAACACAGCAAATCATTTACATATAGCATTCCGATAATTAAAGCTTACAATAATATTAAACCAAGGTTTTCACAAAGGTAAACTGGTTAATATAGTTGATTTTATTTATTAATAAGAACAAATGTATTTCTTCAGTATGTAATATGTTACAAAAATATAACTGAATATTGTTAGTCAATCTATTACCACAGAAAAATGCAAAATGAAAAATCCAATTATTAACACCAACTTGTGTAAGACTAGTGTCTTGCCTTTCCGATTGAGAACAAAATTATATTTATTAATTTCAGTAATTTGCTAGGACATAGCTCCAGGGCTCTCCCATATTTCATCTTCATAAATATTAGAGGTAGGTGTGATTGTATCTGTGTCCATCAGATGGAGGCTGATGCAGTCTTTGACAGTTGACTCTTCATCAACAGGAGGAGGAGACACAGCCCTGTCCTTTTCTGTCGGCTTTTCCTTCCTCACTTCCTGCTCTTCAGTTGGGATAACATGTGGGACTTTTTCCTTTATCCTTTCCTTATTCTGAGGTCTGCTTTCCAGGCCGAAGAATTTGTTTCGGACAACATAGCGCACACACTGCAGGAGGACATTCCTTTCGTGGCGGATATCTGCGGCCAGAAGCTAGAAAAAAGAGAGATTTGTGAGGGCTGAGAAGATGCATTATCTAGACAATTTTACATTTTAAATCCAGTGAAATATGCTTATATAATCTTACCATCTCAAGTAAAGTGGGACGACGTGCCTGCGGTGTATCTTGGTACCCTCCTCTACCCCCCCTGCCTCCTCGTCCTCTGCCCCCTCTTCCTCTTCTGTTGTTATGCGTGTGATGGGCGTTGTTAGGATGTGCATCTTTGTGACCCTGTGTAACCTGTGAAGAGGATCCCGGGCCTCTCGAGGGTCCTCTATCCTTAGGCGGTATTGTGTTTAGGAGAGCCTGGTTTTCTTTCACAAGGTCTTTAGTTCTTTTAATAGGGGTTTCTGCAACAAGAGGACAAATATCATCAATATATTTTTGTGTTTTTCCTGTGACATGCAATTCCATAATATGTGCTTTGCCCATGAATGTACTATATACACCTCCTCTGTCAACAGAATAAAACCAAATTACCAATAATAAAGCTAGTCTTCGGTAAAATTCAATTACTATCTGTGATTGAATTACTCATGACAAAAGATTTGTTATTTAAATATAGTATAGTAAGCAGATCTTCTATAATTGCTAAATTTAGGAGACAGGGAAAAGGTTTTTTTTGTTTAGTAAGGTTTTTTAAAGTTGTTTTTATGTGCACATTGAGGATGTTGGTAAACGTACCTTCTGGTCCCTCATCACTTTCACTCATGGAGCCGTAGTTGGCCACCAGGGAGCCCAGAGCTGAGCTCATCTGCTTGGGAGGCACAATGAGGGCACCAGCTTTGGATTGAGGGGCGGGTTCCTCTCGGTCAGAATCTGGAAGCACAGATTAAAATGTACACAAGTTACCTTTACAGATGTTAACTCCACGGCATCAATATTTTTAATCTATGACGTTATGCACAAGGACCTCTTGTGGTTTTGGTGATCAGAATTTTTGAAATATGTCTATAATTAACATCAAACCAACAGTCATTTGAATTAGTACCAGACTTCAACAATTAAACAGACGTGAGAAAAAATGCACAATAACATATTTCCACTGACTGTTAACAGTGTTGTTTGAATACAATGCCAAGTATATGTCTGAGTCACTCACCATGATCAGTGCTGGCGAGTGCTCCCAGAGGATCCTCATCTCTGCGGGGCTGGGTGAGAGGGGGGGGTCTCTCTGTGGCACTGCTGTCTGATGGGTGAGGGCCTCGAGGGTGTTGCTCATGGGACCCTCTGTTACCCCAGCCCCGTCCTTGACCTTGACCTCGACCCCGCCCTCTGCCTCTGCCCCTCATTCGGCTGGGAATAAACAAATATTAGAGTTTAGATTTAGATACAAAAGGTACTGTTGTTTCTTTTTGCAATTACAGAAAAAACAAGAAAGATCCAGTGCGAAATATATAACTTACAAACCAAATTATCAAATATATACCCAAACTGAGCTGTGTCTAGAACAGCTCCTGTCTGCTCACGCTCATCCATCACTTTCTTCTTCTTGTCAATATTCTGAAGTGTTGGATAATGTCTGGGGAAACACATTAAGACCCAAGTTAAACAACAATCATCATGTTCTGCTGTTTGGAAGTAGACATCATAGGCAAAAGCTATTTATATACAATATTAAAAGTAACGCAAAAATCTATTTGAGAATACTGACTTGCGCCTCTCCTCTCTCCATTTTGCAATCTCGTCTTCTGTGTCCAACTTGATTCTTTTAGCGCCTGGTGCATGGTTCTGCAGTCAGGATAGAAAAAGACTGATTTCAGCAAAGGAAAATACTGAGTTTCAGATAAACAGCAAGGTGTTACACTTACGTTTTTCCAGTGGATGCTGACTATTTTTTCATGAGCCATGAAGCTGCAGTCAGGAACAGAACACTAGGCAAGAGATGTGATGGAGTTAGTCAGTGAATCGGGATTCGAATAAATGACATGTAAGAAAGCAGAATATACTTGATAGATATATCAAATTACCTTTACGTGTTGAGAAACATGTTCATCGTACTTCTCCTGGTTTTTGAAGCTCCGGTCACAAGTGTCACAAAAATGTGAAAACTCTGGCTCTTTCTTATTTTTCTGCTGTGGATTAGTTCACAATGTAGAGCAGAATGTATGACAAACACTATTAAGGTCCAGATGACAACAACAATGTTCAAACAGATAGATACCTTTTTCCCATAATTGTTGGGGGCACCATAATTCTGTCCTCCACCTCGATTTCCTCCATGATGCACTCCACGGTTAAAGTTTTGACCTGAAGACATACGATACGATATTACTTTATTTGTCAGATCAAGTATGAAATTTGACTTGCGTCACAGCAGCTCCATGTCCAACATCAACAGACAAATATCCAGACACAAATACATGAAACACAAACAACAAACATTTAACATAACAGCACAATCAGTGAGAGAAAAGCTGCTCAAAGAGCCTTCAGCGTGCATTTGATTTGGGATCAGCTCTGTATTTACTGTGAGGATTGACTGATGCACAAAGGAGTGCTTCAGTCTGACTTTATTGAATCATGGGATCCTGTATCTCCGATTAGATGGTAGCAGTTCATATTCACTGTTCAGAACATGGTTTGGGTCAGAGATGATGTTGTTGGACAGCCTCACTAGGTTGTTATGATAGGCTGAGTCATAGACAATACATCAACACCTCAATTTTAATGATGTGACATTCACATGATGGCTCTCAAGTAAATTATGTCATGTTAGCAATTACCCTGATGGCATATGAGAGATGTAATCTAAGTAATCACATATTGGGCTCAGAGATTGCCCGTTCCAAACGTTGGCAGAGTAACACTTTAATACTTTCCCACAGTGTTTTTAGATATTGGTTTGTCTAAGAAAAGTCATTAGTAATAGGGCCAAGTAGATGCATTAACTCCTCATCATGTAATAATTGAATAGTAAATGCTACTCACCATGTGGACGCTTTGATCCATAGTCTCCACGGCCAGATGGAGGACCAAAGCCTGCTCCTGTATGCCACCCAGCCTGCCCCCTGGACTCCCAGCTGGGCTCTGGCGTCTCTCCCCAGCTCCACATGCTGGGGTGGAAGCTGCTGGAGCCGGGCTGCTGCTGCTGCTGGAAGGGCTGGATGAAGTCTGGAGGGGGACAACTGAAGTCCGGCGGAGGATAGTGCCTCGGTTCATTCATACTTCACCCCTTAAATCTTTCGTTGCGTCAAGAGTAAATTAAACTTAGTACATCTGGGTTTCTCACCACGCAGCTCTCACATGTGCATGTTTTGCTATAGACACACGTACGTCACTTCCGCGAGAGCAGGAAGGACATACATTTATAACCACAACAAACAAAATAACAAATATGAGCGATAGCTATCATCCTTAGTGGTTGTTTTGTTAAAATACGCACATGACATACTCTGTTATGCTGTTTTATCCGTGTCAAAAAGCCTAGCTTAAACATTTGAATTCGAAATAACGGTATGTTTGCGAGACTTCTCGCGAGATTAAACACACAACTCAATCTCCTGAGGTTGCCAGGTTGAGGAGAAAACGCATGTGGAATTGATTTATACATGATGCTAAGAAGCTTTGTAAGTGAAGCAAACATTCACTGCATAGAGCACCATACGTTGCTTTTTTAAAGATACAGAAGGAAGTTAAAGAGGTGTTTTAAGTAAGCTGGGATTTATTTTACACTTTTGATAACATTTCAATTAAATGTAGATTTGCAGCATTAAACCATGCCATTAATGTAAATACATTAAGGTATTTTTTTTCTATCTTTGAAAAACTTAAATGCAAGGAATACTTTCAAAATCATCCGAAATATCGATTAAAAAAAAGAGAGATTTTTTTCTGATTCGGGGGATACCGTCTGAGCGGAAGTGGCAACACAGCAGTTTTCTCCCTCTCGCCGCGTGTGTTCCTCAGAGTGCAGCAGCGTGGTGACTTCGTGAAGTACCTGGAAGCTCTCAACTGAGAGAGCGCACACATTTTGCTGCCAAAATGCTCGTCTTATTCGAGACCGCCGCTGGATATGCCATATTCAAAGTATGTATTTGACTTCTGTTTAATGTCACTACAAAAAAACGAGGAATTATTACACATGAGTTAGCATCGGTTAGCTTCACAGCTACTTACCCACAGACTGTGTCGCTTCTTTTCAACTGTAGTTAACGTTAGTGATAGTAAGCAAAATGACAACTATGTTTTAAATTGCATTCGACTATATTAATTAGCAAATGTAATGTTTTTGTTTGTACAGGAGTGGTTTAAGTTAAGGCTCAAGCTAATGCACGTTGCCACTCTGCAGGCCTTGTAACCACGTGTGCATGTGGGGACTAGCTTATGTGACTCTACTTGTCAATCTTCAAATACATACTAAACATTTACTTATGTATGATGTTATAGGATCAGCATTACATACTGAGAGAACAAGACAACTTAACTAAATATACATTTACATACCAGTGTTTTTTGTACTTGTGCATCTCTCCTAATCTTTATTAATGCATGATTACTAACTGAGAGTTTCTGTTACATTTCAGGTCCTTGATGAGTCCAAGCTGCAACAGATCGACAGCTTGTACAAGGAGTTTGATACTCCTGAAAAGGCTAACAAAATGTAAGTGTTGAATGTGCTTCTAACCAAAGCAAGATGTCGCCATGTAATACATTTTGGCTCAAGTAAATTAGATAAAATGTCTAATTTATTTTGGTTTTTCTCCTGCCAGTGTGAAGCTGAAGCACTTTGAGAAGTTTCAGGACACAACAGAGGCCTTAGCAGGTAATTACATGTGTTTTACCACTGAGACAGTTTAATGATCATTTAGATAGTGAGGGAAATTAGCCATTTAAAAAAAACAATTACACATATATATATATACTCATTTATAAAATGTTCACTGTTGAATTTTGGAGAACTGAAGAGACAGTGGTGATGATGACGACATTTGTCTTTTATCCTGAAACGCAACATGTGGGTTTTTCAGTCACTACCTCATCTGAACTGTCACTATAGGACTCCTTTAAACTCTTTGCACACTAAATGTACAAATGAAATTAAACCTATGTTTTACACAGTATATTCGTCACTTACTAAAATTCCTTTAGGGCATGTTAAATTGACTGTTTCCCTGATTTGGATCCGTAGTTGTAGTATTTAATGCAGTATTCTCTACCTCTTCCCTACAGCTGCCACGGCCATGACCGAGGGAAAAATTGGAAAGAGTTTGAAGAAATTGCTGAAGAAGGTTGTTGCAAAGGAAGCTCATGAGCAGCTGGCCATCAGTGATGCAAAACTCGGTGGAGTTATTAAAGTAAGTGACTTAACAATCATCTTTCTAAATCGGTAGCTAAGTGGTATTATGGCTCTAACATGTTCTATTTTTCAGGAAAAGATGGAACTGGCCTGTATCCACAGCCCTGTAGTGGCTGAACTGATGAGATGCATCAGGAGTCAGATAGAGAGCCTCGTCACTGGACTCCCTCCCAAGGAGATCAGTGCCATGTCTCTGGGATTAGCTCACAGGTAGATTGCACAAAGATACGATGTTGTATAAATAATGTCACTCCTGCTTCTCAGCATTCGTCACTACCACTGAGGCAGCAATGTCCCTTTGGAAAGATCATAAGCAGCTTGCTGTGTGAAATAACCATGACGCTTCTTGTCTGTTTTGCAGTTTATCCCGCTACAAGCTGAAGTTCAGCCCTGACAAGGTGGACACTATGATTGTGCAGGCCATCTGTAAGTTGTATTTTTATACAGTTAAAGGTGGGGTAGGTAAGTTTGAGAAACCGGCTCGAGATACACTTTTTGTTATATTCCATGGAATGCTCTTAACATCCCGATAGCAATGAATATCTGAAGTGCTTTGACAAAAAATCCATTAAAAAACGTAATCTGTGGAAGCCGTAGAGCTGTAAAAAGTACAACCAATCCGTTGAGCCGGCCCGGCTAAACGGATTGGATTGCCGTCCTGTCTGTCAGCCTTCCATCTCGTGCCGTCAATGGGCGTGCATTGCAGCAGCAGGCGGCCACTTTCACCAGTCTGCTGACGTCATGTGCGCGTTCATGTGTGTTGGAGGAGGTGCTCTGTAAGGAAGTCTGAAGGAAGGGGCGGATTCTTTTCGCCTGTGTACTTTCAAATGTTCGTGCACTCGAGCCGGTTTCTGAAACTTACCTACCCCACCTTTAACCATATTAAACGATGATTGATATTATTTTTCACTATCAATTCATTTAAAGACTGTTTTCCCAATTTCTAGTTGAATGGAATATCAGAAATACAGTCACAATCAGAGATGTGACTGTTGTGTATTTGAATATGCAGCCTAACGTTTGAGTTTTTTCTCCTCTCTTCAGCTCTGTTGGATGACCTGGATAAGGAGCTGAACAACTACATCATGCGCTGCAGAGAGTGGTACGGCTGGCACTTTCCAGAGGTGGGAAAGATTATCACAGACAACTTGGCCTACTGCAAATTTGTCCGCAAAATCGGTAAGAAAATAATCTGCATTTAAACTCAATAACACATTTCGGTAGATATCCCTTGCATATTAAAACTTCCCATATTTTAAACTGTTAGTGATATTATTGCAGGCTGTTGGTTATACATTCCTGAGTATCCTAATGTGTCCGTGTATCTGCAGGTGAACGCACAAACGTGGCCGCCTCTGATCTGTCTGACATCCTGCCTGAGGAAATCGAGGCCGAGGTTAAACTGGCTGCAGAGATCTCCATGGGAACAGAAGTGTCAGAACAGGACATCGGCAACATCGGGCACCTGTGTGATCAGGTATGTCGCTTCCTTACCTAGTTTAACTGTTATACCGATATATATATATATATATACTCATTTATAAAATGTTCACTGTTGAATTTTGGAGAACTGAAGAGACAGTGGTGATGATGATGACATTTGTCTTTTATCCTGAAACGCAACATGTGGGTTTTTCAGTCACTACCTCATCTGAACTGTCACTATAGGACTCCTTTAAACTCTTTCTTTGGTCATGGGCTGGCAGTTCTTATATAAATCCCATCTCCTTTTTTCCATAGGTGATTGATATTTCAGAGTATCGCGCTCAGCTGTACGACTACCTGCAGAACCGCATGATGGCGATCGCTCCCAACCTGACAGTCATGGTGGGAGAGCTGGTGGGCGCCCGTCTTATCGCACATGCAGGTGAGTCAGAGAGAAGACGCTGTGTGAGAGGCAGCCAAGCTGTGATGATGACGACATATTGTCGATTTACTGATCATGACTGATGTTTTTAAGTCACTACCTCATCTGAGCTTGTGTTAAGAGGCCCAATGAGCAGGTACTGGTGAGCGCATCGTATTTATTTGTTGGTTGTTTTTAAGGTTCCCTTCTGAATCTGGCAAAGCATCCGGCATCCACGGTCCAGATCCTCGGAGCAGAGAAGGCTCTTTTTAGAGCCCTGAAGACTCGCAAGGACACGCCAAAATATGGTCTCATTTACCACGCCTCCCTAGTGGGTCAGACCACTGCCAAGAATAAGGGAAAGGTAAGTCCAGAAGGTCCCCAAACTGCACTGATTCATAAACATTACAGTCTATTGGTTGGCATATAAACATATGCTGTGTTTTTCTGTCCAGATCTCCAGAATGCTGGCAGCTAAAGCTTCCCTGGCCATTCGCTATGACGCCCTGGGAGAAGACACAAACGCAGAGATGGGAACAGAGAACCGAGCCAAGCTGGAGGCCAGGCTGCGACAGCTGGAGGAGAAAGGAGTAAGTCAATCTAAAATTAGTCATGAATGCATACACATTTTGAATAAGGATGTATACTAAATGTTTCACATATTTCCTCAGATGTTCTAATTTCATTCTTGCTGTGCTACTTAAATAAGTAACCATTTGTCTTTTCTTCTCAGATCCGAAGGATTAGTGGAACAGGCAAAGCAATGGCAAAGGCAGACAAATACCAGCACAAGAGGTAAATAATCCAAAGTTTTCTTTAGAAAAGATTATATTTTTCCAATGAAAAGTGTTAAATATCTCTTCTTTGTTGTTGTCTCAGTGAAGTGAGAATGTACGATCCATCTGGCGACTCAACTATTCCCGCCACATCAAAGAAGAGGAAGTTTGAAGAGGTGGAGGAGGAGGAGGAGTCTGAAGCGCCCGTAACTCCGGCGGTTAAATCCAAGAAGGCCAAAAAGGAGAAAGTAGTAGAAGGTGGGTGGAACAGGAATGAACCTTATCTTGTGGTTTAGTCTCCAAAATAGAGTTTATGATGCTCAATATCTTGTCTGCTTGTTTGGTAGAAGAAGCAGAAACGTCAGCAGCAGCAGAAGAGACGCCGAAGAAAAAGAAGAAGAAAAAGGACAAGAAAGAAGAGGAACCTGAAACGCCAGAACCAGTAGAGGAAGAAATGGCCGTAACAGAGGTAAGAGTCTGTTTGGCCATTTGAAATGCAGACTATTCATTAGAGGTTTGAGTGTTCCAGTGTTTGACTCTGTTCTTCTCTCTCCAGTCGACAAAAAAGAAGAAGAAGAAAAAGAAGGCAAAGGATGAAGATGATGAGTGAAACAAGTGGAGAGTGTATATATTTTCTTTCTTAGGTTTTATGTCATTTTAGTTTTGTGTCATACATTTATTTTCACAAGGGCAAAACTGTAAAGTGCCTGTTTCTGGACATGAGAAGAGTTCCTGTTGAAGAATCCTTTGATCTCCCTTTTTATATCTGACTAGGATATGATATGAAATCAGTGTATTTAACAATATCCAATACCTTTCTAATCCTCTATCCTGTATGGTTTTATGTTTTTTATTTGTCACACATCCGTATCAGAACCAGTGCAGAGCAACGAGTGGATGAAAGATTCTCCCATTCCATTGTAGATAGATATTTTTGTCTGAACCTCTGCCTGCCCTGCTGAAATAAAAACATTTTTGCTCAAATTGTGTGTATAATGTCGTGGTATGAATATAAAAACATATAATTAAGATTATTCAATGGAAAAAGTAAACTGCAGTAGGTGATTTTAGTTTATATCCAATTTTGTAATAGAATTACTACTTAAGAAAAAATGTGGTCTCCCTTCTGCCAATGAAAGCTTGTAAGCAGGACCCTAGTTAACTTCTAACACTAGGATGTGTTCACCTCAGCTATTCTGGTATTACCAGGAGCTAATTGTGGCTTGTGGTAGTTTATGGAGCTGGCAGTCGGAAGGCTGATTAAAGCATCCCACAATTGGAAATTAATTTGCATAGAATGGCTAACTTATAGGCAAAAGTGGAAATACAACATGATATTGATATGCGACTTTACAATAAGACTACCCTTATAAAGGAGTCATAAAGGGTTTATAATTATGATGTAAACACTTTATTAATCATTTATAAACCAGTTCTAACAGTTTTCATACATCATCACACTCACTATTTGGCAAGATGACTAAGCCTTTCCTTATATTGGCTACTAGTGAGAATCAACTCAGTGAGCAACAGATACCAAGGATACTGGCTGATGAAGAGGACGAAGTAAGCTAAGTAGCCAATATAAGGTTTAGCAGTAGATAAATGTGGGCTCACTATTTGGCAAGCAACCGGTCACAGTTGCCCTGTTTATCTCATGTCTTATAAAAGCTTATTAATGATTTATAAAGTGTTCACAACCTAATTAATAAATCATTTGAATTACAAACTATTCGTAAACCATTTATAAGGGTATTCTTATTGTAAAGTGATATCGATATAGGAACAGATCTATACAATTGTATTACAAACCTTTTTAAGGGTTCAGTTCCTGGGTTACAAAAATCGGTGGTTTGGAATAATGTAAGGTTTTGGCACTCAAACTACAGAAGAAAAACGTGTATGCACAATTTCCTGCACCCCACCACTGGTTCTCATGGCCTTACTCCCATTTCAACTTGTCTATTGTATTGCACACAATATACCTACCATCCTTCTCTTCATCATATCCGCGTGTCACCATTCAGCTCTACTAATGTAAAAATAATTAACACTCACTGGATCCATTTTAT